ACTTTGGCCACCCGATTGAAGCGGAAGAAGGACTGCTCCGACTGCGACTGGACATCGTAGTCCTGGCGATTTGGCATCCTGAAGCAACCTTCTCGAAGCTCGGGAAATCTGATCTGGTGGAAGTGTGCTAGGGTAACTCGTGATGCTTATCCTTATTTCACGTTATCCATGCGGCCATCACTGGGAAAAGGACACTGGGAGGAAAGAAACTGAGACTGAGACTGAGACTGAGGAACTAATCGGTTCGTGGGTTAGCGCGTTACTGACTACAAATCGGGCATTTTTCCAACGGGTTTGCGGCCTGCCAGTCGCTCACAATGGAGAGTGGTAATTACTCCGGTCAACACCCAAACACACAGAGATTGGAGTACTCGATACTGATCTATTGATCTCGTTAAGGAACATTGCTTAAAAATAGACAGTGTGTGCGGCTGGAAGGCACGTTTCAACGGATCCGTTCGGGGATTTATATCATGTGGCCCCCGCGCCCAAAAAGATGCCACAATGGTGTTAAAATTCGTTTGTTTGCCAAATGGCCAAACACTGTGGGCTTTCTATGCTAAGGTGCCAAATGCTGGCCAAATTTGCCACCAATATTAGCAATTAGTTTTATCGACGCCCCTTTGTCAATATGCTAATGGCCCTAAAAGTACACAGGGAGAAATTCTAGATAACCTTTAAGCTGAGTTCCACAAATTTATACAATATACTTGATTAATTTTTAATATTTTTTGAAGGGTAAACTTACGGCGGAGTCTGCGGATTGACCATGTCGAACAGCTCGTTGGCCGTGGTTGGAACCCGCCGGATGACCAACTTGCGCCCGTCCGTCGAGCCTATGCCAATGGAGGCCAGCGAGCGTACGGATGTCACATCGGAGTAGATCTGGTTGGCGGCCAGGTCGTGAAACTGATAGGAACTGCCGCTCAGCGAGGCCTGCGGTTGCATGTAGAGCGGATGTGGTGCATGCAAACCGGAAGTGGCCATCGGTAGGCCTCCAACCAAATTGCCGCTACTGTCACTGAGGCCGGGCAGGTAACCTGGTTGTAGATTAAAGAGAATATTACGATTAGTTAAGGACACTTATGGTGTTAGAAAGTAATGAAAAATAATATCGATTAAGCAATAATTACTGTAAATGAATCTGATATAATAAAATTATTATAATACGCAAATTGATTTAATCTTTTATTTCAACAAACTGGTTTCAAACTGGTCTTTACTCTTTTTAGGAGGGGTATAAATGCATTTAGTTTAAAGGTTTACAGCCTGAAATAGATATCTCTATATTTATAGGTACAGAATTTACTAATTTATGGGCATACAAAATGTGCATACATAAAAATGGGTTTGTTTTGGGTTACTAATTCAGTTAAATGATTGCCTTTGCTGTTCAAAGTTTCACTACGTTAATTTATCATGGACAATAAATTAAATAATTAGGATTTTAGTAAATCTTTGTCTACATATGCATTACGTATTTCAATTATTTTTAACGAGGAAGACAGCTAAATTTGTAAATCCGAAGTTTATTTACCCTTGCAGTTTGCAAATGAATCACGAGATTGATTGGAAAATTGATCATAACTAAGCCAAAAATGCATTATTTTCAATTTAGAAAGCTATTTTATGCTAGTTTTAAGAAGGCAAATAAATCTGCATACTCAATTTAACATGTTAACATGCGATTTTATAATTTTACTGAAACTTTAATACCCTGAAATGCTATGCACTTAGAAAACAGAAATTTAATTATGTATAGAATACCACTTCGGTCACCTTTTTGAGGGCTTGTAATTAAAAGATTATAAGAGGCTTCAAAGTCGGCGAATAAAAAACACTTGAAAACTACCAACTACTTGCACATACAAGTGCCTGGAAACCTTATCTGGGAGGGGGAACCCACCTGAAACCACGGATCGCATGCTGCTGTGGTGGCTGCCGATGCGCGAGCGCAGCTCCATGCTGAGCGGCGAGACGGCCATCCCATCTCCGGCCATGGTTGTGGTGGTGGTACAGGTCAGGGTTGCCGGCGTGGGCGAGATGGGTGGCAAAGGAGCCGGCGGCTGGTCATCGCAGTCGTCGATGGTAAAGGTCACCGTGGAGGTGGAGCCACCTCCGATGGGAGGCGGTGCCTGCAGCTGTTGTTGCTGATGCTGTGGCTGCTGATGCTGCTGCATAATCATCTGATGCTGTGCGGGTTGTAGCACTTCCGAACTGGGTCGGGACTTTATCGAAGTCTGGCGATTGTGGAGCGGCAGTTGCTTGTGTAGAGACGCCGCCATAGCCGCCAGGGAGGTGGTGGAGCTGGCCTGTCGGAAGGGCAGTGGACCCGCTGAGGTGCTGGCAGGCGGGGTTCCCGGCGTGGCCGGTATTATAATGAACTTGTGGGTCCGCGCCGAAGGTGAACGAATGAGTCGCGCCTGCTCATCGCCCTCGTAGCAGCTCTCCGCTCCGCTGTCCGAGAGCTGGCTGTGCCGCAGGGGCGTTAGACCCGCCGGGGGCGTGGTCCGAGTCGTCACCTGGTCACCTGGAGTGGCTTCTTTCTTGTCTGACATTGTTCTGGTGATGCTGGTGTCGTCGTCGTCGCTTTTAGTTGCTAGTTGCTAATGGCTGCCTCCTGGTCACTTTATCATAAAATCATGTTTGTCTCGCGAGGCTGTTGGTTTTCGCACTGGTCCACTGATGATGATGATGCTGCTGCTGCTGGGGCCGACCGCAAAGCTATCATCATCATTGCGAGTTCTGTTTTGTCACAATTTTAAATCACATTTAAACCTTGGATTGCACAATGCGGTGCTGGTTGCTGTTATTGTTTGCCGCGTGAGTTTAGGCTTTTAAATCAAAACGAACTGAATCACATGTGGAGGAAAGCAGCAGAGTAATCTTTATTGGCCTTAATAGAGCAGAGATTACTTTCTTGAGAGAGTTTCTCTCCCCCGAAAAATGTTGTTGTTTCCCCTGAAATTTCTTGGGAATTTACCAAAACAAACACTCTGTTGACTTTCACAACTCATTGCTCCCCCATAAAAAAAACAAAGAGGTGACCATGTTTTCTGCCACTCTTTCGAGTGGCGGGCATTTTTATGTGCACTTGATATATTTCTCGTATTTGTTTATATAAATAAACAAGCTCGTGTTTTGGCCCATTTATATATTTTATTTTATCACCGACCACACACAGATAAACCTGAGCGCCGCTCACTCCCTTCACTCCCCCACTCACTGTCAGATACTCGCACTCAACTCGACAGATACAAACTTGTATCTTATCGCCGGGGCTCCAACCTTAAAGGTTTCTCCCCTCAGCTTCGTTTTTTGTTGTTTATTTTAACGGCCTTTCTCCGTGGGCTTATTTTTTCCCCCTGGTGATGGCTTTGAGTGACGCTTGCCCGCCAATTTCGACCATATCGGGCTCTTTTTGACAGCAAAGACAGCACGGAATTAATTTGAAAGCTTCCAGGGACTACGTCATGGGCACGCGATCTGCTCCAGTGACTTTCCGGTCACGACCGGGTCACTGAATGTAATTAATAATTACGCATCTTGTACTGTGTTTGCGAGATGAATTCATCACGCTACGGGGCCTCTTCTCGTTGTAATATGGAAAATAAAGCCGCAGACTGGCGGAAAATGTAAATTTCTGGCCGGGCCAGAGCTGGATAGAGAACGTCTAGTAAGCTGGAAAACATGCCAATGCCAAAGCCGATCGTATTTACATAACTGTCTAGGGGGTAAGCCTCTTAAAATATCTTTCTTCTCTCTTTTAATGATCATCTGTTGGGGCTTTTGTGGTTTATATCTCCCCAAAACTTGATTGATCGTCGACAGACAAGCAAAAATCAATAAATCATTTATGGTGGGATGCGGTAAGTGATAGCTTTCAGGGCTGAGAAAACGAAATCCTGAGAAACAACTTGGGTAATTGCTGTCTACAGAGAACAACAATGGGTTCTGTTGGGTTCTCCTCTTATGAAAGTCGTAAACCTTCAAGGGGACGCCATAAATCACAGTTGTTCTATTCCTGGACCATTAAAAAAAGTTAGCACCCCCGTCAACTTGTTAATGAAAACTTTGCCCATCTGTTGCAAAATGTCGCCATTATACATTAGTTGCTGCCTTTAATGATTGCTTTGCTGCACTCCAAACCAAAACAAATAATAATGATATTTAAAACTGAAACACGAATTTCCCCGCTGGTAGATTCATAGGTAATCGCTCACACACTTTAATTATGATAATCAGAGCGACAGCAATTGACGCTAAATAATGGTAATTTCATTCATTTTGTCAGTTTTGCTTGATTCACATTTTCCTGTCGCCGCTTAATTCATTTGTTTCCATTAGCGAGATTCATTCACTCGCACCAACAACAATGCCTAATTTCAATCATAATACTCGTAATAACATAATCAGCACACACACATCAGATCAAGATAACGCGGCGTATACTTGATGTATGCCGATACCAGGCGATTGCAGTTCAGCTTTCCGTAACACTTTCCACGTAACATACGTCTCTTTCTGGATTTGAATTATGGATCCGACGGCGCCGAGCAAAACGTGCCAACACGCGCACCGTCAAATGTCAAGTGATCCAATCCCAATTCACGTTTGCGAATATCGTTTACACTGCGGCACACCACAGAAACCAGGTCGTCTGCTCACTCTCTATCTCTCTTGGAGCTCACTCTCCGGCGCGATGGAACACTCTCCCGTAGAGCTTGGTGCGTTGATAGCAACGGGGCAGATAATATGTATAAAAAAAGAACCACTGCCCGTAATGGGCATTATGAGCTACGGGTTAAGCTTGTTCTGCGGCCCCAGACTCTTGAATATTAATTCAAATTATATGAACCGACAAAGAAGAAGCTACAGTGGCCACAGCTTAGCTTGATTGTCCAGATTCGAGGCAGTTCCAATTGATATGCTGGCCTTATATTTAATATAATTATTACCCAGGCTTCAGTTTCAATCAGAATTAAGTCATTTGTTTATTTATATTTATTTATTTATTAGTTTACAATAAGCGATTACAATTATGTTCGTTTCTCGTTTTCATTCTCTCTTTTATAAGTACAATTTAACTATTGTTTTTGCTTCTCTTTTTACAATTAATTCTTGTTTAATATTTGCTGCCAGTGCAAAAAGTTGTGTCTACTCAGAGTTGAACTCTGTGTTTAAGAATTTTTGTATATTCTTTTTTTAAGCGGTTTTTCCAAAGAAAAATAAAAGTGTTTAGTGAATATTGTGAACGATGCTGGGGTATTTCTTTTTTAATAATTTGTGCACTTGTTCAAGCACTCCGGGGAGGAGTTCTCGGGTTTATCTTGGGCTTATTAAGAAAATAATTTTATGCCTGGCATGGGTTCGGATTTGTGGAAGGACCTATAAACAATAATAAGCTACTAAAAATACCATTGGGGATTGCCGGTTTTATTTACAAATTCTGTCTGTCTCTTTGTGTCGTTCTGAGTGCGAGTTTATTTCATATATTATGGTATTTTACTATAAAGAAAATTCCCTTTCTTCACGTTCGGCTTAAAGTAGTGACTATACATTTTGTTTACGTTTAATAATATTAATTTAAAACTTCATTTTTTAATAATTTAATTTAATCCAGCCCGCCTGCCGTCCCCCAAACAGAGCATCCATTCATAAGCTCCCAGCAGGATCGAACCCGAATCTGTAAACAGGCACCGGAAGCGAAAATTCGCTGCATGACTTCCGGCGCGTTGACAGCTTCAAGTCAAATCCTCAGGGTGCATATGGACACATGGGTTAGGCAGGCACGGGGGCCCTGGTTCGTTGCCTTTTTAAGTACTTTCTACTTTTGTTTTGTCTCTACTACATATTAGTAAATTAGTGGAAGTATCTCTTTTGCATTAAAAACAATCACAACAATTTAATATTAATTGACTAAAAAACTACAAAAATAATAGGGGTTATTTGTATATAGTAGAGTGTAGTAAGTGGTCGGAGGGGGACAGTGGTCAAAATCAAATCCTCCATTAGTCGTCGTTGCGATTAAAATTATAAACAAACCTAGTGTTTCCTATGCAATATAGATATATAAGATATAAGATATCCTTTTGTGCGCTGTTGACGCCTCAGTGGCAGTAATGGTTCTTCTTTCGCTACAAGTCCTGGACAGGTTTCTCCGTGTGTGCCTTAAGCCTTGTCGAGTGCTCTTGGTTCTTCGTTACTATGTGTGTGTGTGTGTGTATGTATGTGACTCAAGGACTTGTGTAGAATCCATCTAAGGACAATCGTTGTCATATTGTCCAGTGGTTATACAAAGGCCACACGGGAAATGTCCTTACTGCTAGAGAGTATTATTCTGGGGTGCATTGTTCGGTCTTTTTGTTGGAAATCAAAGGCAGTTTTCAATTTTAACAGGCTAGTTTCAAGTTTCGCGATTATTATAAAATTACAGGAAGTAGTCTCGCGTGTGTGCGTGTGTCTGTGCTATAATACAAGTGTCGTCGTCGTACCCACACCCTAAACGTTTATAGGAAGTCCTTAGTTATGCATATAATGTAACAATATTAATATTGATAATCGACTAATGAAGAAGTTGTCGTTAGAGGACGAGAATTCGTTTGTAGCTTCCCTCCGTCCGTACAAACGCTACGCGGAACTCTCATGTTAGTGGGAAGTGTGGAGAATACTAAACGTTAATACAATTAGTAAAATTATTTTCTTAAGCTACTAAATTGCGAGCATACTTTTCTCGCTCTGCTTTTTACACATTTTCGCAATTTTTCTTTCTTTCAGAGTTTCGTTTCACAAATTTACCTTTGTTTTTCTTTCATTTCTTTCAATCTGTATATATCTTTCGCGCTTTAATTAGAGGTTCTTTTGCATTTTGCAGAACTTTTTGCACTTTTTGCTTTTCAAATTCACATTGATTTCATTTTCTTTCGTTTTTCTTACATACTAAAAGATATAGCTAGGTGTTGTGTATGTCAGTGTGTGTGTTTTACGTTACGTTTAGGATATGTAGTCCGGCGTGGGCTCGGGCACAGCGTCGGGATTGGCGAACAGCGGATTGGGGAACTCCGGTGGATGGGGCAGGGGCGCAATGGTCTTCGGTCTTCTTCTGTAGGCCATTAGCCAGCAGGAAACCGCTACGGCCACGGCCACAAGAGCCAGCAGAGCCGTGATGACCAGAGCGATAATCAATCCCACCATCGAAACGCAAATATCCTCAACGCGCTGTGCCGCCGGTTTGACTGAGGAAGAGAAGTGGGAAATAGTCAAGTTAGATCGATATAATAATACATCGGCAATAAGGACTACTCACTGTTAGCATCATTTAGGCCCTGGCCGCTGCGCTTCTCGAATGTGAGAATGGCATTTGACGAAATGGTGATCTCTTCGCGCAGTTGACCCTCCACACCCGAGTTGGTGGCAATGGCAGTCGTATCGGTGGAGTTATCAGCAATAGCGCGACGGCGACGCCCGAAGGCATTGTAGCCGCCACAGTTTACAGGCTGACAGCGTCCAAAGCAGACGCGTATGTTACACTGGAAGCGTATGTTGTCGCTGGACGGGAACTTGAAGGCATTGAAGCTGGCTAGCAGGCTGTTGGTATCCGGGTTGTACTCCCAATTGCCAAAGATACTGGTATCGGTGGCGCAGCCGTTCTCATCCGTGACCAAATATTCGTTCTGAACATTGTCCTCCATGGTTTTGGCTATGCAGGAGCGGGCAAAACCTCCATAAATGGCTGGTTTTAGAAATAAATATTCATAATTAGCCATGCTTTTGGATAGGTTAATAATATATTAATACTTACTGGCTGGCTCCACGTCCACTTGCAACTTGAGATTGTCGCCGATTTCGGCAGAGTTGATCTCCTCGCCCTCGTTGGTAATGATGCGCATCTGACAGATGGGTGGCGGTCCTGTGTTGGCTATCGTGCCAGCCGTTGTCAGCATGGACACGTTGAAGCCAAGGGTAACGTTCCTTTCGCCCGTTTGGTAGACGCACTTGATGTTGTAGGCCTGAGCCTTGTAGGTCACCAGCTTGGGATGCTTCTGGATGACCAACACAAAGCTGGCCACATCCTTCACGGCCTGCATGCTGCAGCTACCGAAGTGAACGCGGAAGATCTCGGTGCGAGGAACAGTTTCTCCGGCCAGATTGACCACACGTCGGCATTCCTCGTCCTTGCTGTGACCCTTCACGTAGAGAACTCCGTTAAAACCGGGCTCTGTGATGTGGATCTCCACCTGGACGCCATCGGCAAGACAGCTGACCACCATGTCGGGTCGTGGGAAATCGGTACGGAAGTTGGTGTGGTTGCAGTGCAGGTCGGGATTGCCAGTATATCCGGTGATACACTGGCACTGACCACGATGGTTTACGACATTACAGAAGGCATTCACTCCACACACCTTGGTCAGGCAGGGATCCTCGCAGGTCTTGGTGTCCAGGTTACAGAAGCGGTTGTCTGCGCACTGATCATTGCTGGTGCACTCTGGTGGCTCCTCGGGCAGGCATTCGCCGCGAGGCGTTAGGCGGTAGCCCAGGTCAATGGGGCAAGTGCAGCGTCCGCGCTCGTCGATCACCATGCCGCGCTCCAGGGCGCACACACAGTGACCGCTCTCGTCGATGCGGAAGCCCTGCTCCACTTGGCAGGGAGTGCAGTACTCATAGATGTCCAAGGCAGTGCCGGGCGGGCAGACACACTGTCCGTCCACGTCCCGGACGAAGCCCTTCTCGATGACGCACAGGGATCGTTTGTCGCACTGCACGGCCGCATTGCCGGTGTAGCCTTCCAGGCACTCGCAGATCATGGTCCTAACGGGCAACGTGTCTCGGACGCGGCACTCGGCATTGACTCCGCAGGGCTGGGTTGCATTGCAGGGATTCACGCACTCGCCGCGAAGGCAGGCCCGTTGGCTGGGACAGTCCGCATCGCTGATGCAGATGGGCACATGGCGCTCCGACTCGCAGCCATTCCTGCCAGGCACGGTACCCGGCGGGCAGGCGCACTGCGGCCGGTGCTGGTACACCTTGCACAGTTCGTCCTGGGCACAGATCGCAGTCGTTGCGCACGGATCAATGCACTTGCCATTCACGCATGCCTTGTCCAGGGGGCACTCGTCGTCGGCGCGGCAGCCCAGGGGAGTACAAGCAATCCTGGCGTTTCCACCATGTCCTGGTATGCACTCGCAGACGGCCCGATGCTCTATGGCCAGGCACTGGGCGTTGGTTCCGCACTGCTCGCCCTGGCAGGCGGGCACGCAGAGTTGGTTGCGGCACGCATGGGTACCGGGACAGTCCGAGTTGATGCTGCACTCGATCTTGGCGCACTCGAACTCGGGGTTACCCTCATAGCCCTGGCGACACGTGCACACCGGTTTGTGGTCCTTGATTCGGCACTCGGCATTCAGGCCGCAGTTGCAGGGATCCCGGCAGACGCCGTTCAGGCATGACTTATCTGCCGGACAGTCCGAGTCCGAGATGCAGCCTCCCACCTTGGTGATTCCTGTCGTAGGCTTGCAGCTTCCACTGCCGCTACTGATGTAGCCATCGGGGCAGATACAGATCATCGTGCGTACCGGCGACGTTGGAGTCACCTGGCACTGTGCAGGCCGTTGGCAGGGCTCCAGGACCAGGCAGGGATCCACGCACTGTTCGTTGATGCAGGCCTGGCGGGCAGGACAATCGGTGTCCAGTCGGCAGACGGGTTGCGGCGGCGGCCTGCAGTCGACGTAGGGATTGCCCAGGAAGTCGGCGGGACAGCGACACACGGCGAGGTGATTTTGGGCTCGGCACTCGGCACGCGGGGCACACGGGTTGTGGTAGACACAGGGGTTTACGCACTGCTCGTTCTGGCAGGTCTTGTCCGTGGGGCAGTCGTTGTTGCTGCTGCAACCGATGACGCGACAACGCTCGTAGGGATTACCGCGGTAGCCGCTCAGGCAGCGGCACTGGGCACGGTTCGCTTGAACGTAGCACTCGGCATTGGGGCCGCAGGGATCGTTGATCAGGCAGGGATTGATGCAGTCTCCATTAATGCAGGCCTTGCCCGAGTCGCACTCGCTGTCGACGCGGCAGCCGATGGAACGACAGGACGCATAGGGATTGCCCTCAAAGCCGTCCTGACAACTGCATACAGCGCGGTGTTGTGTCACTTGGCAGATGGCATTGGTGCCGCAGTTGCACGGGTTGCGGCACTGTCGGTGGATGCAGGCCTCCTGGTCGGGACAGTCCTGGTCGGTCTCACAGCCCGGCGGGCTGGGCAGCACCAGCTGTCGGCACTCACCACTGGCATCGGGCACCTGAGATTCGGGACATTCACAGACCATAGTTCGCACTGGGACGCTGTCCAAGACGCTGCACTGGGCGGTCCGGGCGCATGGCGATAGCTCCGTACACGGGTTCTGGCACTTGACATCGATACAGGCCAGACCGCTGGGGCAGTCGCCGTCATCTCGGCACACTGGCTCAGCCAAACGCGGCTCGCAGTAGGAGTATGGGTTGCCCAGGGGCAGGTGCTCCGGGCAGCGGCAGACAGCGCGATGCTGCAGTGCTTGGCATTGGGCATTCTGCGCACAAGGATTCTGTTGGCCACAAGGGCTCACGCACTGGTTGGCCACGCAGGCCAGGTTGGAGGCGCAGTCATAGTCAGAGTGGCATTCCAAACGCAGACAACGCACGAACGGATCTCCCTCCAATCCCACGGGACAGCGGCAGTTGGCGCGATGGTTTCGTCCAAAGCACTCGGCATTCAGCGCGCAGGGATCCGTAACCAGGCAGGGATTGACGCACTCACGGTTCAGGCACTGCTTATCACCGCTGCACTCGTCGTCCGACTGGCAGCCAATGGGAGCGCAGCCAAACTGAGCATTGCCCGAGAATCCAGGCTTGCAGTAGCAGATCGGATGATGGTTCTTCACGGTGCACTCGGCATTCGGTCCGCAATTGCAGGGGCTCACACACTGGGTGTTGATGCAGGCCTCGGTGGAGGGACAGTCGGCGCTGGACTTGCAGCCCACGGTTATCACGCCGGAAGCTGAGGGAGAACCAGATGATATTGGACTGGCAAGGAAGAATATAACATCAATTTAAACTTACGTGGTATGCATCGATCCTCAGGATGACCCGTGTAATCCGGCGGACAGCGGCAAATGGCCTTGCGCATCTGCACATGGCAGTATGCACCGATTCCACAAGCGTCTGCGGCGCACGGATTCACACAGAGCTCATTGCGGCAGGTTTGGTCCCTGGGGCAATCGTCGTCGCGGGCACAGCTCGGGTTGGGAACCTTAGGCCTTCCCACCACCGTGGAGTAGCACTCGATGCGTGGATTGCCTTGGTAACCCTTCGGGCAGTTGCACTGCGCGTAATGATCTCGGGCGGTACACTGGGCATTGACGCCACAGCGCTCCAGGCGACAGGCATCCAAGCAGTTTCCATTGGAGCAGACCTCGGGATTGGCGCACTCCGAGTTGTGCTGGCAGCCGACGCTGACAGCGGGTCGCTTAATGGCCACACAATTGCCAGAGGTATCGGTAACCGTGTCGCTGGGACACTTGCAGATCATGGTGCGTAGTGGCAGGGTGTCCAGTACGTTGCAGGTCTGTTGCGGCGTGCAAACGTGTGGAGTGGCGCATGGATCTGCGCACCTCTCGTTGATGCAGGCCAATCTTGAGGGGCAGTCGGCATCTTGGGTGCACTGCGGCTTCGGCGTCTGCTGTGGTAAGTCGCACTGAACGAAGGGATTTCCCTGGTAACCAGGTCGGCACTCGCACTGAGGCTGATGGCGACGACCCACACACAAGGCATTGAGAGCGCAGGTCTCTTGCTCGCAGACCGGACGGCAGACACGATTCAGACGATCGCAGGCCTCGTGATCGGCACAATCCTCGTTGTACTGACAGTGACCCGTGATGCAGGAGATGAAGGGATTGCCCTGGGTTCCGGCGGGACAGCTGCACACAGCCTGGTGATTCTGGGGCAGGCACTGGGCGCCGCTTCCGCAACGCACCTGGCCGTGGGTGCAGGGATTCACGCAGTTCTCGTTCAAGCAGGCCTTGTCGTATGGACAGTCGGCATTGATCTTGCACTCGGCTGAAGGTAAGTACTGGTAAGTATTCGGCACTTGGAAGGGATGCAATGTTTACTCACGTTTGTAGCATTGAACCTGGGGGTCACCACCCCATCCAGCTGGACAGTAGCAAATCGGACGGTAGTTCTGCACGCGACACTCGGCATTGCCAGCGCAAGGATTGGCCTCGGCACAGGGATCCTGGCAACGTTGATTGATGCAGGCCGCATTGGCCTGGCACTCCGAGTCATGGGTACAGCCAGCAATGATTTGAGCTGAAATTACAATATCATTAATCATGGATCATGGAGTACGGATATATTGGACTTACGTGGCTGATAGCAGTTGGTGAAGGGATCTCCCTGGGTTTCCGGCGGACAGCTACAGATGGCGCGATGCTGCTGGGCCAAACAATGGGCTGTGCGAGCACATGGCGAGGCATCCAGGCAGGGATTGACACAGTTACCGGCGCGACAGGCCTCCGTGTCCTGGCACTGATCATGCGAGGTACAGCCCTGGTCGCGAGCGGGTTCTAAATAACGAAATGAGGGATTAGTTTCACTTATTTTCAGGCAAAATATAATTTTGCTAAGTGCGGCTAATGTGCAGCAGTTAAGAGTTATAGAGTGCATCCAAAGTATATATATACAGAGGTACAGGGTGCAACGCTATAAAAAGGTTTATATTTTATATATTCAATCAAGCACTTTGTATATAATAAAAAACTGCTGCTGGAATGAGAGAGCAAAACTCAAAAATAAAGCGTAAATCAAGGATCAATATCCTCCAAAGCAATCCTTAAGCGATTAAATCTAGTAAAAACTCAATCTGTAACCCACCTTTACGACATCCAATGTCGGCGTCACCCACATAACCAGGCTCACAGCGACAGATCATGGTGCGCAGAGGCAGGGTGTCCACCACCTCGCAGATGGCATTGGCGCCACATGGATGAGTGACCGCACACGGGTTCTTGCACTCGCCGCCGAAGCAAGCCAACTTGCTGGGACACTCCGCGTCCATTGTGCAGCCCTCGGGTTGAGCTGGCACCAGGTCACACCTAACAGCCGGATTGCCGCTGAAACCAACTGGACAGCGGCACTGGGCACGATGGTTATCCACTCGGCATTGGGCACCAATGCCGCAGTTGCATGGATCCTCGCAGCGTTCATTGCGACAGGCCAGATGGAAGGCGCACTCATCATCCGAGCGACACTCGGGACGCTCGCAACGAACCAGCGGATTTCCTCGATAACCATCTGGACAGTGGCACCTGGCTCGGTGGTTGAAGTCCGCCCGGCAGATGGCTCCCGATCCGCACTGGGTGAATCCACAGGGATCGACGCACTGCTGATTGATACAGGCCTCCGTGGCGGCACATTCGCCGTCCGATCGGCAGCCCAATAGGTAGCAGTTCTGCAGGGCATTTCCGGTGTATCCCTCGTTGCAGACGCACAACGGCCGATGGAGTTGGACATGGCAACGAGCCTGTTGGGCGCACAGGTTGGACTGTTCGCAGGGATTGCGGCAAACCTGATTGATGCAGGCCTTGTCATTGGTACAGTCACTATCACTGATGCATTCCGGCTTGGGGGGCTGAATCTCTGGGATCTGTCTCAAGCATTCGGCGTACGGCGAGCCGTAGAAGTCCGGCGGACAGCTGCAGACAGCCTTGTGGTTGATGGCCCGACAAATGGCATTGTTGCCGCAGGCATTCAGGCACGGGTCACGGCACTTCTGGCTCACACAAGCCCTATCCCTGGAGCAATCCTCGTTGATCACGCACTCCGGATAGCTGCAGGTGGCGGCTCCGTTGCGCACACGGCAAATGCCATTGCTGCGGCACGGGGACGGCTGGCAGGGATCGACAGGCTCGGCCTGGCGGGGCTGTTCGCACTGCACGAAGGGATTGCCCACCATATTGGGCGGACAGCTGCACACGGGACTGTGGTTGATCGTCTGACAAACGGCGCCGAATCCGCACTCTCCCACGCAGGCATCCACGCACTTGGCATTGATGCAGGCCCGATCCTTGGCGCAATCCGAGCTCAGAGTGCACTCCGGGCGACAGCCCTGGGCCAGAGGATTACCAAAGAATCCTGGCAGGCACTCGCACACGGCCTTCTCGCTTTGGACTCTGCAAATCGAGTTGGGTCCACAGGGTGACGGGTAGCAAGGATCCGACGGAGGTGGCGGGGTCAGCAGACGCGTGCACTGCACAAAGGCATTGCCCGTGTAGCCCGCCGGGCAAGAGCAGATCGGTATATGGTTGTTCATGCTGCAAATGGCCTCCAAGCCACACACTCCAGGGCAAGGATCCTGGCACTTGTTGCGGATGCAAGCCTGGTTGGCCGGGCACTCGGAGTTGCCCACGCATTCGGGGCGACAGCCCTCGTAGGGATTGCCGATGTACTCCGCCTGGCTGCACTCGCAAACGTAGTTCTCGCCCTGCACTCGGCAAACGGCATTGGTGCCGCAGGGTGAGGGGTAGCAAGGATTCTTGGGAGTCGGTGGCGGAGCGGGTATATCTGAAAATGGAATGGTAATGCATGGGTTAGGTCAAAGGTTATATTCAGGGCCTAACATGCCTGGATTACAATATGCAAACTTGGGGTCAACAGGGACAAGATTAACCTTAGGAACATATTCAAGGGCCTCCTCTTCGATTCATTACCGAAGCTAGTTCAGATCGCAATTCTTTAAGGAAAGATCTCAGGGTTGGACAAGGATGCTTACTTTGAGGTATGGGCTGGCAAATACGGAAGGGATCACCGGTCATGCCCGCCGGACACTGACAGTTGGGCGTGTGCAGGGTGACCCGACACTGGGCATTCTGGCCACAGCTGCCGGGACAGGGGTCGGCGCACTTTTGGTTCATGCACGCCAGGTTATTGGCGCACTCATCGTGGCTTACACACTCCGGCCGGCAGTTCGGCGGAGTGCCTTGGAATTCCGGCAGACAGCGGCACTCTGCCTGATCGTTCACATTCCTGCACTGCGAGTTGGGACCGCAAGGTGAGGGCTGGCAAGGATCTCGTACGATTTGTGGTATCCTGGGGATGAGACTGCACAGGGCATAGGCGTTGCCGGTGTATCCGGGACTGCACTCGCATTGAGCCCTGTGCTGGATGGCCTGGCAGATGGCGTTGAGGCCACACTTGCCCGGACACGGATCCATGCACTTGTTGTTGATGCAGGCATGCACCTGGGAGCAGTCCGAGCTGGAGTAGCACTCCAGACGGCAATTTGGTGGCTGGCCAAAGTATCCGGTGAGGCAGGAGCAGATGGCATTGCCGTTCCTCTCCAGGCACTGGGCGTTGGCGCCGCACGGCGACGGCTGGCAGGGATTGGGCGGTGTTGGTGGAGGCTCATCGCGTATGGGCGAGCAGGAGACGAACGCATTGCCCGTCATCCGCTCGGGGCAGTGGCACATGGCAATGTGGTTGACGGCGTCGCAAAGGGCATTGGGGGCACAGTGTCCCGGGCAAGGATCCACGCACTTTTGGTTCACACACGCTCGGTTCCGGGGACAATCCGAGTTCAAAACGCACTCGGGACGACAGCCGATGTACGGATCACCATGGTACTCAGGCAGGCAAGAGCACTGGCCATTGTTACACAGAGCGTTGGCTCCGCATGGCGAGGGCTGGCAAGGATCGGAGGGAGCTGCAAGAGAAAGGGGGCCTAGTTGAAAGGAATCCTCTGGGCTTTTGGTTGATGGGTGGGGCATACTCTTTGGTGGTTGTGGTGGTGGCTGCAAGCGGCAGCTGGTGAAGGGGTCTCCCGTGTATCCTGCAGGACACGAGCAACTGGGCGTATGATTGATGACACTACACTGGGCTGCAAAGCCACAGGCTCCCGGACAAGGATCACGGCACTTCTCGTTGATGCAGGCCAGATTGCTGGGACACTCCGCATTGATTGTGCACTCCGGACGGCAGTAGGGCGCCGCTCCGACATAGTTGGGCAGGCAGGAGCAACTAGCTCCGTTATTGACCACCCGACACTGAGAGTACGGACCACAGGGTGATGGCACACATGGATCCCGGACATCCTCCGACTTGGGTGGCTTCGGTGGCGGCTCTGGCAGGCAGCGGGTTAGGGCATCGCCGGTAAATCCTGGCAGGCACGAACACAATGGACTATGGTTCCTCACATGGCACTGGGCATTCAGACCACAAGCCCCGGGACATGGGTCCTGGCACTTTTGGTTGATGCACGCCTTATCCGCGGGACACTCGGCGCTAATCACACACTCTGGACGGCATGAGGGCGGCGTGCCCACAAACTCTGGCAGGCAGGAGCAGATGGCCTGTCCCTGGGATTCGCGGCACTGGGAATTGGCCCCACAAGGCGATGGTTGACAGGGGTTCACATACTCCGGAGGGGTGGCTAAGGGAATTCAGAGGGTTTTCTTTTAGGATTTTTGCACTCGAGAAAGCAGGGCGAAAGCGAAGCAGTAATTAAAAGCAAACCAAAAGCAAGTTTAAGTATTTCTAGAGCTAGCATATTGTCACAGAGCATGGAGAACGAGTCCTCCATGGGATGAGTTTAAGATTTTACACATGAGGTAGCTGAAAAAGGATTGGTTTAGAGCAAAAGGTTGAGTACAGCGTTGTTGTTTCAGAGAGCAGATAAATATCACCGAGTTTGGAATGATATCAAAGGGCAAGGATATTTTAGACAACAAATATCCTTTGCAAGGGGTTTGAGATCATTTTCAATAGCTTTGACATCATATATCACATCTATTTGGTTAGAGAGCGGAGTGCAGCTGAAATGGTTGGTCAATACAGCAGAGACAGAGAAGGATTAAAGAATTCCCTGATTATAAAATGAGATCACGTAGAGTACAGCGTTGTCGTTTAGGGCAGTAGAGTTCAAGGATTAAGATTCATCTTAAAGTAAAATGGCAGAATATCACAGAGCAAGGTCAATGGGTTTAGGGATTCCACGAGAGGCAGAGGCAGAGAATTCAACAAACATAAAACCATATTATTGATTAGAGAATAAAGACGCATTAGGATCGGTATAAGGCATAACCTAAGGTATATCTTCTTACGTTCTTGCTGGACTAAGCGACAGCTGAGATAGGGATTGCCCACAAAGCCCGGATGGCACTCGCACACCGGATTGTGGTCAATCACCTGGCACTGGGCATTGAAGCCACAAACGCCGGGACAGGGATCGCGGCACTTCTCCTTCATACAAGCCCTGTGGCTGGGACAGTCCGAGTTTACGGTGCACTCGGGTCGGCAGATCTCCGATGGATTGCCATAGTAACCCGGCAAACACTGGCAGACGCTCCAATCGTTGTGGGGCAGACAAATGGCATTGACCCCGCATGGACTGGGACTGCAAGGTTGGATTCTAACTGGAGGTGGACTGGGATCTGGTCTCCTACAAATGCTGTAAGCATTGCCCACATAGCCCTCGGGACAGTAGCAGATGGGACTGTGGGCCACCACCCGACAAAGGGCAGACTGGCCGCAGCTGCCAGGACAGGGATCGACGCACTTGTAATTGCGACAGGCCTTGTCCGCCGGACAATCGGCGCTGCTTATGCATTCGGGCCGGCAGAAGGGCGGCGTGCCGTGATATTGGGGCAGGCAGGAGCACCGAGCACCGGCCGGCGTGGCCTGGCACTCGGAGTTCGGACCACAGGGCGAGGGCTGGCAGGGATTAACCACTTCGTCGCGTTCTACGGGAGGAATAACTGAGAGGTGGGGATTAGATTTGAGTCTTTGGGAGTCTTGGGAAATATTTGCTTTACCTATAGGCTGGCAGGCCAGCAGGGGATTGCCCGTTAGGTGGGGTGGACACACGCACCGGGGACTGTGGTTCTGCACATGACAAATGGCACGAAGACCACAGGCTCCCGGGCAAGGATCACGACACCTGAGATTCAGGCAGTACTTGTCGAGGGGACAATCTGAGTTCGAGGTGCACTCCGGACGACAGGCGGGCGGAGTGCCTATAAAGTCGGGCAGGCAGTAGCAAATCGCCTGCTCATAGTAGGGGCGACACTGGGCATTGGGTCCACACGGAGACGGTTGGCATGGGTCAACTATGGGAGCTCGCTGCGGCACAATGGCCGGTAGAGTCGTGGGTGGCTCATCGCGAGGCGGCGTGGGTTTGGGCTTGGGTATCGGGTCACATCTCACAAAGGCATCGCCCTGCATTCGCTCCGGACACGTGCAGATGGCCAAATGGTTGTACACGTTGCAAATGGCATTCAACCCGCAAGTTCCTGGACAGGGATCTTGGCACTTCTGACGAATGCACGCCTTGTCCCTGGCACAGTCCGTGTTGAGAACACACTCCGGGCGGCAGCCCACGTAGGGATCTCCTCGGTATTCCGGAATGCAGCTGCACTTTCCATTGTTGCATACCGCATTAGGTCCACATCTCGAAGGGTAGCACGGATCCTGCACTGCCGTGGGCTCACGTTGAACAGTGGTTATCGGCATGGGTTGGCACGACTCGAATGGGTTTCCAGTGTAGCCCGGTTGGCAGAAGCAATTGGGCATGTGTTCGTGGACACGGCACACTGCGTTGTAGGCACAAGTTCCTGGGCACGGATCACGGCACTTTTGGTTGATGCAGGCCAAATGCGTGGGGCAATCAGAGTGCACAACGCACTCTGGTCGGCAATTGGGCGGCGTTCCTCGGTAGTTGGGCAGGCAGACGCAAGCTGCAGCTCCAAAACGATTGTGACATTGCGAGTAGGGACCACAAGGCGATGGATAACATGGATTAAACTCAAACGCCGGCCTTGCCACGTCGTAATGTGGTCGTGCTGGGACATTAATCACTCCAGAAACTGGCTGCGGCCTCTGAGTGTCGTAGTGAACGATCTCTTGAATAGGCCTTTGAGGCGTTGAAGGTATGGGTTGTGGCAGCGATGGTATGTTGATAATTCCAGGTCTCGGTGTTGTTCCAGGTTGCGATGGCTGAGCTGGAACATGTATCACACCAGGAGCAGGATATTGTGGCACGGATGGGATGTTAAACACACCTGGCCTTGGTACAGGAGTTGGCTGTTCCGTTGGGTAGTTCACAACCTGAATGGGTGGATTTTGTGTCGGGAATGTAGGTTGCGGAACAGATGGAATGTTGATCACTCCAGGCGTTGGGCGCGGTTGTTGCGTTTCGTATTGGATATCCTGGATTGGTGTTTGTGGGATCGCTGGTGATGGTTGCGATGGGATATTGATTACACCAGGAGTTGGCGATGGCACAGGTTGAGGTACCGAAGGAATATTGATTATTCCCGGGGCTGGAGGAGTTGGCTGTGGTGTTGGATAGCTGACATCGTAAATCGGTGGATTTTGTGGTGGATAAGTCGGCTGTGGCGCCGATGGAATGTTTAGAACTCCTGGTCTCGGTGTCGAGATTGGAGGAGATGGCTGCGATGGGATATTGATTACACCAGGAGTTGGCGATGGCACAGGTTGAGGCACCGAAGGAATATTGATTATTCCCGGGGCCGGAGGAGTTGGCTGTGGTGTTGGGTAGCTGACATCGTAAATCGGTGGATTTTGAGGTGGATAAGTTGGATGTGGCACCGATGGAATGTTTAGAACTCCTGGTCTCGGTGTCGAGATTGGAGGAGACGGCTGCGATGGGATATTGATCACACCAGGAGTTGGCGATGGCACAGGTTGTGGCACTGAGGGAATATTGATTATTCCCGGGGCTGGAGGAGTTGGCTGTGGTCTTGGATAGCTGACATCGTAAATCGGTGGATTTTGTGGTGGATAAGTCGGCTGTGGCGCCGATGGAATGTTCAGAACTCCAGGTCTCGGTGTTAAGATTGGAGGAGATGGCTGCGATGGAATATTGATCACACCAGGAGTTGGTGGTGGCACAGGTTGAGGCACCGAAGGAATATTAATTATTCCCGGGGCTGGAGGAGTTGGCTGTGGTGTTGGATAGCTGACATCGTAAATCGGTGGATTTTGTGGTGGATAAGTCGGCTGTGGCGCCGATGGAATGTTTAGAACTCCAGGTCTCGGTGTTGAGTTCGGAGGAGATGGCTGCGATGGAATATTGATCACACCAGGAGTTGGTGGTGGCACAGGTTGAGGCACCGAAGGAATATTAATTATTCCCGAGGCTGGAGGAGTTGGCTGTGGTGTTGGATAGCTGACATCGTAAATCGGTGGATTTTGTGGTGGATAAGTTGGCTGTGGCGCCGATGGAATATTAACTATGCCTGGCGTAGGGGCAGGTGGATTTGGCACTGGAACTGGAGCTGGTATATAGATGGGCTGCTGGGTAACCGGGTATACGGGTCGTGGCGGCGATGGAATATTTATCACACCTGGCCTGGCCGGTGGTGGTGGATAGTAAACATCATATATGGCTGGACGCTGTACCACCGGAGTGTGTGGCGTCGGATACACAGGCTGTGGCACAGAAGGTATATTAACCACACCTGGTTGGGGGGCAGGTGTCGTGTTTGGCGACGGCAAGAACACAGGTCTTTGGGAAACTGGAGGAGTTGGCTGCGGTACCGACGGAATATTTACTACTCCAGGTTGTTGTGGTACCGGATAGTGGGGCGTTGGATAGTTAACGTCATAAACAGGTGGAGTTGGTAAAGGATGCACTGGCTGTGGTCCTGAAGGAATATTAATTACTCCTGGTTTAGGAACTGGTGTCGGCCTCTCAGGTGATGGTATGAACACAGGAGGTTGAGGTGACGCCGGTATTGGCTGAGGCACCGAAGGAATATTGATCACTCCAGGTTGTTGGGGTACTGGAGCAGGTGTCGTTGGATAGTTTACGTCATAGACCGGGGGATTTGGAGTTGGATGTACTGGCTGAGGCACAGAAGGAATATTCACCACTCCTGGATGTTGGGGTATTGGCGCAGGCGGCGTAGGATAGTTAATGTCGTAGACTGGTGGATTTGGTGAAGGATGCACTGGCTGTGGTGCTGAGGGAATATTAATTACTCCTGGTTTAGGAAGTGGTGTCGGCCTCTCAGGTGTTGGTATAAACACAGGAGGTTGGGGTGACGCCGGTATTGGCTGTGGCACCGAAAGAATGTTGATTACTCCAGGTTGTTGGGGAACTGGCGCAGGTGTCGTTGGATAGTTTACGTCATATATTGGCGGATTCGGAGTTGGATGTACTGGCTGAGGCAGGGATGGAATATTCACCACACCGGGTTGTTGGGGTATCGGTGTTGGTGGATAATTCACATTATAAACAGGAGTCTGAGGTGTAGGATAGCTCGGCTGCTGCACTGAAGGTATATTAATTACTCCAGGTTGTGGTGAAGGAGTTGGATTCACTGCCGAAGTTATGAAAACTGGTCGCTGGGAAGTTGGGTGCACTGGATGCAACACCGACGGAATGTTTACAACTCCAGGTTGGTGAGGAACAGGATACGCCTGCGACGGATAATTGACATCGTAAACCGGAGGCTGTGGTGATGGGTATCCAGGCTGTGGTACGGATGGAATATTCACTACTCCAGGTGCTGGGGAATCGAAGGCTGCGGCGCTGGATGGTAAACTGGCGCAGGGTGTACAGCCTGCGGAGCGGAGGGTATATTTACAACTCCCACCGGCTGTTGGATGTGCACTAGACCAGGTATTGCCACCGGATACGGAGGCGAAGGTGTGTCATATACTTGAGGTCTCACAGGTGTTTCTAATAAAATGGTCAATTGATTTTTGTTAGGCGAATCTCTTAAAGCTTCTGTGGCTTCAACTATATTCTTACGTTTGGGGTTCTCGTAGCATCGCGTGAGAGGATCACCCGTGTGCGTGGCTATGCAATAGCATATGGGACTGTGGTAGTGCACGCGGCACTCGGCATTGATGCCGCAGACTCCGGGGCAGGGATCGACACACTTGTGCTGGACACAGGCCTTGTCGTACGAGCACTCCGAGTTCAGGGTGCACTCGGGATGACAGTTTGGCGGGCTGCCATAGAACTCGGGCAGACAGGAGCAAACGGCTTGATTGTTCAAGGGATGGCACTTGGCATTGGGTCCGCAGGGAGAGGGATCACAGGGATTCAGATGCGTTACATGGGCTGATGGCAAAGGGAATATATTATAAAGATTGAATGGACTCTTGAGATTGCAGGGATGCTTACATTGCTGCACCACTGGCACCACTGGTGAACAGTATGCCAAGGGATTGCCGGTGTAACCTCTGAGGCACATACACTGCGGTAGGTGATCCTGGACATAGCACTCGGCATTCAGGCCACAAGTACCGGGACACGGATCGCGACACTTTTGCTGTACACAGGCCCTACTCGAGGGGCAATCGGAGTTCAGGATGCACTCGGGTCGACAGGCCTCGTAGGGATTGCCAAAGTACTCAGGCAGGCAGACGCAGGAGGCCACCCGACCCCGCTGATTGCATTGGGCATTCGCCCCACAGGGATTGGGCTCACATGGATTGACATAGGGCTCTTCATACTGGAGCACTTCAATGGCCGTTGTAGGCGGGACAGCGGGATATGGCTGTGGTCGAGTTGGTGGCAGGCAGGAGGTGAAGGGATTGCCCACCAAACCGGGGGCACAAACACAATTCGGTTGGTGGTTGACGGTTCGACAGATGGCACTGAAGCCGCACAGGCCCGGGCACGGATCCTGGCACTTGCGATTGATGCAAGCCCTGTCGCTGGGACACTCGCTGTTGGCTATGCACTCGGGCCGGCAGTAGGGAGGAACTCCCAGGTACTCCGGCAGGCAGCGGCAGACAGCGTTGCCGCCCTCATGGCTGCATTGAGCATGCGGACCACACGGCGACGGCAGGCAGGGATCGACGGGTTCGCGTTGAACTTGGATGGGCTCCACTCTGATCAAATGGCACTGGGCATAGGGACTTCCTGTGTAACCCACCGGGCAGAAGCACTGTGGACTGTGGTTGATCACCCGGCACTCGGCGAGGTAACCACAAGCCCCAGGACATGGGTCGCGGCACTTTTGATTCACACAGGCCAGACTCGGCGGACACTCGGGATCACTCACACATTCCGGCCGACAGGTCGGGGGACTGCCGTAGTAACCAGGCAGGCAGGAGCATATGGCTTGGGAGCCAACTTCCCTGCACTGTCCATGGGGACCACAGGGAGATGGCTGGCAGGGATGGGGGTCGGAGTAGGGGGCCTGGAGCGGTGTAGGCTGGCACAAGACAAATGGATTGCCTTGATATCCAGCCGGACACTGGCACAGAGCCACATGATTGTGCACTTGGCAGGTGGCTCCTGATCCACATGTTCCGGGACACGGGTCCTGGCAACGATTGCGGATGCAGGCCTTATCCCACGGGCACTCGGTGCTCAGTACACACTCCGGGCGACAGCCCACGTAGGGATCACCTTGGTACAGGGGCAAGCAACTGCAGATACCGTTCGCACACTGAGCATTGGGACCGCAGGGCGAGGGCTGGCAGGGATCATCTGCCACGACAGTTACAGGGGCGGGTGACGGTGTCGAAACTGGATAGCAGCGATAGAACGGATCCCCGACATAGCCTCTAGGGCACGAACAGCTGGGCACATGGTTGAGCACATCACATTGAGCAGCCAAGCCACAGGCACCTGGACAAGGATCCACGCACCTCTGATTGACGCAGGCTCTGTGACTGGGACAGTCTGAATTTAGGGTACACTCGGGTCGGCAGTGAGGAGGAGTACCGAAGTAGGAGGCCAGGCAGGAGCAAATCGCTTGCCCGTACTCCACTCGGCACTGGGCAAACTGTCCACATGGCGAGGGTATACAAGGATCTCGCGGTATAATTGGGGAATCTCGGATAATCTGAGGCTGAGGTGGGGGCAGGGGCAGGCAGCGCATAAATGGATCACCAGTGTAGCCAGGATAACACGAACAAAGAGCTCTATGCTGACTGGCCTGGCAAATGGCATTCTGACCACAGGTTCCCACACAGGGATCGGTACATCTTCTGGACACACAGGCCCTATCGTTGGGACACTCAGGATTAGTGGTACATTCGGGTCGGCAGGCAGGTGGGGAACCAAAGTACTCAGGCAGGCAGCGACACACCGCCTGACCCTGGGACTCGGTGCACTGAGAGTTGGGACCACAAGGCGAGGGCTGGCACGGATCAAAGTGGACAACATTGATGGCTGGGGAGGGACACAAGTGGGTGGATTGGGAATAATATTCAGGGTTAGTGCAAGGGTTAATCGATTGACCGGGAGGAATCTTCTTACGTTCTGCCTGGACCACATGGCAGTGACGATAGGGATCGCCGCTATATCCAGGATAGCAGCTACAGCTGGGCACGTGGTTAACAACCTGACACTGGGCATTGGGGGCACAGGTTCCGGGACAGGGATCGCGACAATGTTGATTCAAGCAAGCCAAGTGGCTCGAACAGTCCGAGTTGAGCACACACTCGGGGCGGCATCCCTCGTAGGGATTGCCATAGTACTCGGGCAGGCACTGGCAAGCACCAGCACCTCCTCGTTCCCGGCACACGGCATTGTTGCCGCAGGGACTCTGCGAGCAGGGATTGATCTGCTCCCGCTGGATCTGCGGCCGGGGATAGCAACCAGAGTAGGGGTCACCAATGTAGTCTGCGATGCAGATGCACGAGGGAACGTGGCTGATGACCTGGCAACTGGAGGCGTTGCCACAGAGCCCTGGACAGGGATCTTGGCACTTTTGAGCTATGCAAGCCAGCTGACTGGGGCACTCCGAAGAAGTTATGCACTCCGGGCGGCAGTTGGGCGGTGTTCCTATGTAATCCTTGAGGCACTTGCACACTGCCTGGTCACCTTGGATAGTACATTCCGCGTTAGCTCCACAGGGCGATGGCGAGCAGGGGTTCAAGGGTTCCCTTTGAATCGGTGGTGGCGCTGGCACTCGCTGGCACAGGAAGAAGGCATTGCCCGAGTATCCCGCTGGGCAGCTGCAGTGCGGCACGTGACGGATGACCTGACACTGGGCGAACTGCCCGCAAGCTCCGGGACAGGGATCGCGACACTGTTGATTCAAGCAGGCCAAATGCGGGGCACAGTCCGAGTTAATGATGCACTCTGGTCGACACTTTGGTGGAACACCAAAGTATCCCGGCAAGCATGAGCAAATTGCCTGTCCATTGGCCACGCGACACTGGGCATTGTTTCCACAGGGCGAGGGTTGACAGGGATTCAGGGGTTCCACAGGAGCAGCTAAGGAAATTACGGATGTGTTAAAGAGGGTTTCTGGAAGATTCGGATTTGAAAACCTACATTGCACAATGGTACACTGGACGAACGCGTTGCCCGAGGTTCCTGGTGGACAATTACAGGTGGGAATGTGATTTCTCACTTCGCACACTGCTCCCACACCACAAGCTCCGGGACAGGGATCCTTGCATTTGCTGCGCTGGCAGGCCTTGTCCCTGGCACAGTCGGTGTTGAGGACGCATTCTGGCCGACAGCCCACGTAGGGATTTCCCTCAAAGTCTGGCAGACATGAACACTGGCCACCGGGACTGCAAACGGCATTGGAGCCGCAAGGCGAGGGATTGCACGCATCGCGTAGCACTGGAGTTGGCGGTGGTGGCGTTGGCCGGCAGCTGATGAAGGGATTTCCCTCATAGCCTGCCGGACAACTGCAGATGGGTGTATGGTTGATGACATTGCACAGGGCTTGTAGTCCACATGAACCTGGACAAGGATCTCGACACTTTTCACTGATGCACGCCAAATGCGGAGCACAATCCGGGTTAATCACACACTCTGGCTGGCAATTGGGCGGAGCTCCAAAGTATCCAGGCAGGCATGAACACACTGCCTGGTTGCCCTGGGCTCGACACTGACCAAAGGTGCCGCAAGGAGAGGGAACGCAGGGATCGCGATAGGTTTCCTTGGGGGCATCGTAACTAATCTTGGGCGCTGCAAAGGGTTCGGGGTTAGGAGAACAGCTTGAGGAGTCCAAATAAATCATAATCTTACGTATGAGCTGGCAACCACTGATGGCATCACCCTGGAAGCCCGGCAGGCAACTGCAATGCGGACTGTGGTTAATAGCCCGACATTGGGCATTGCTGCCGCATGCACCGGGACAGGGATCCACACAGTGGTGTTGCACACAAGCCAGGGTCAGGTCACACTCGCTCGAGATGGTACACTCGGGCCTACAGCCGGGAGGCGATCCAACAAAGTCGGGCAGACAGGTGCATATAGCCTGACCGTTCGATTCCCGACACTGGGAGTTAGGTCCACATGGAGAGGGCTGACAGGGACGGGTGGGTATAGGTTCGGGCAGGGCTATCGAGGTAAATTCAAGGTGAGTTTTCAGTCTAGCAATTTCGAGGTGCTTCTTACGTTCACGCAGGATATTGCAGTACACGTAGGGATTGCCCTGGTAGCCCACCAGACAGTTGCAACGCGGCAGGTGATCTCTCACTTGGCACTGGGCATTGGGACCACAGGTTCCGGGACAGGGATCACGACAATGCTGATTAAGACAGGCAAGGTGGCTGGGACAGTCCGAGTTGAGCACGCACTCGGGGCGACATCCCTCATAGGGATTGCCGTAAAACTCCGGCAGGCATTGGCATGCTCCGGCTCCATTCCGTTCCGAGCAGAGAGCGTTGGCCCCACATGGACTGGGCACGCAAGGATTCAGTGGTTCTGGTACATCGCGCTCCACTTGGCAGCCAATGAAGGGATTACCCCGGTGGCCGCCCAAGCATGAGCACATGGGCGTGTGATTGATCACATAGCACTCGGCATTGGAACCACAGACTCCGGGGCAGGGATCACGGCACTTCTGATTGAGGCAGGCCAGATTTGTGGGGCAGTCGGAGTTGGACACACACTCGGGTCGGCAGTTGGGCGGGGTTCCAATAAAGCCAGCAAGGCAGCTGCACTGGGCATTGCTTCCCTGGACCCTACATTCGGCATTGGCACCACATGGCGACGGTTTGCAAGGATCAATGGGATCCTGCCTCACGGGTGGTGGGGGTGGCTCTCGGTGACAGGCCACGAAGGGATTTCCAGTATACGATGAAATGCAGTGACAATTGGGGCTGTGATTTATCACCCGGCAGTCGGCATTCAGGCCACAGACTCCCGGACAGGGATCCCGACAATGTTGCTGCAGGCAAGCCAAGTGCAGGGGGCATTCCGCATTGCTGACGCACTCCGGGCGACAGGAAGGTGGAACTCCAATGAAATCGGGAAGGCACGTGCACACGGCCTGGCCATTAATGTTGCGACATTGGGCATTGGGTCCGCAGGGCGAGGGCTGGCAGGGATCAATAACATCCCGAACCGGTGGTGGCAGTGGTCGGCACTGGCTAAAGGCATTGCCAGTCATGCCCGGTGGACAGTGGCACATGGCCACGTGTCTATGGACCTCACAGATGGCATTCGAGCCGCAGGTTCCGGGGCAGGGATCGACACACTTGTTCCTCACACAAGCCTTGTTCCAATCGCACTCTGTGCTCAGTACGCATTCCGGGCGACAGCCCACCAAGGGATTACCGATGAACTCGGGCAGACAGCTGCATTGTCCCTGCTGGCAAACGGCATTCGGGCCGCAGGTGATCAGAGAACAAGGATCACTGATTTGAGGTGGAGGATCCCTAGCAGGTGGCGGTGGAGCATGACAGGATGTAAAGGGATTGCCAACCAATCCGGGTAAACACTGGCATGTCGGATTATGGTTGACAACCGTACACTGGGCACTAAATCCGCAGGCTCCGGGGCAAGGATCCCGACAACGCTGCTGCTGGCAAGACAGATGGGCAGGGCAGTCAGGATTGATGGTACATTCGGGGCGACAGTTGGGCGGAGTGCCAAAGTAGGAGGGCAGGCAAGTGCAAGTGGGAGTTCCCTGGTTATCCCTACACTCGGCATATTGGCCACAGGGCGAAGGCAGACAGGGATTACGATAGACGTCCAACTGAGGCGGTCTGGGAGCTGTAAGGTCAATAAGGGGGTAACATAAGCTGTATACTGGTGGGCCTCCCTAATAAGTTATCTTACGTGGCAGGGGCAAGCAGCGCGTAAAGGCATCGCCCGTGAAACCTGGACGACAACTGCATATGGGGGCATGCTGGAAAACGCGACAATCTGCATTGGAGCCGCACACTCCGGGACAGGGATCACTACACTTTTGCCTAATGCACGCCTTGTCTTGGGGACACTCGGAACTGGTCACACACTCGGGTCGACAGTTGGGCGGAGCACCCACGTACTCCGGCAGGCAGGAGCAGATGGCCTGATCGTTATTTTCACGACACTGCGAGTAGGGACCGCACGGTGAAGGCTGGCAGGGATTAACGTATTCTTTGAGGACAGCTACAGATAGAGATGGGAAGGATTGGCTTAATATTTGACCGTACGAGTCGGGGAACACACAACACTCACGTTTCTCTGGCACGTGGCAATAACTATAGGGGTCACCAATGAAGCCACTTAGACAGTGACATGTCGGCAAGTGATTAATCACCCGACACAAAGCATTCAGGGTACACACGCCTGGACAAGGATCTCGACACTTCATCTGCTGGCAAGACCTATCCGCTGGACAGTCGTTATTCGTCACGCATTCGGGTCGACAGGCCTCGTAGGGATTGCCATAGTACTCGGGCAGGCATTGGCAGGAACCGACATGGCCTTCCTGGCGACATATGGCATTAGCGCCGCACGGACTTGGTGAGCAGGGTTGTATAACCTCCGTTTGCTGAATTACTGGGACCTGGCGGCACGAGGTGAACGGATCACCAGTGTAGCCTGGCAAGCAGTAGCACATGGCCGTATGGCTGATAACATGGCAATTGGCATTGGAGCCGCAGGTGCCCGGGCAGGGATCGGCACATCGTTGATTCAAGCAGGCCTTGTCGAAGGGACATTCCGAATTGGTCACACACTCGGGTCGGCAGTTGGGCGGGGTTCCAATATATTTCGGCTGGCAGCTGCACTGAGCCTGATCCCCAATGGCCTGGCAGTTGGAGTAGGGACCGCAAGGCGAGGGCTGGCAAGGATGCTGCTCAGGAACAATCTCATCACGCCGCACTGGCTCTGGGAAGCATCCTAGGAAGGGATTTCCATTGTGCCTTGGCGGACAACTGCAGATCGGTGCATGATTCACCACATGGCAAAGGGCATTAAAGCCACAAGTGCCGGGACAGGGATCGATGCAGTGCTGCCGCTGGCAGGCCAGTCTGGGCAGGCAATCTGAGTTCTGGTTACATTCCGGTCGGCAATTCGGTGGCGTGCCAATGTAATTTTCAATGCAGGAGCACACAGCGTTGTTGTTCGAAACACGACAGCGGCTATTCGGACCGCAAGGCGATGGGTAACAGGGATCAACTGGCTCCGCAAACACTGGCGACGGTGCCTCGCACTGGATAAAGGCATTGCCTACCATTCGGTCCGGACAGCGGCACATGGCCAGGTGGTTAATCACATCACATATGGCATTCGGAGCACAGGTGCCCGGGCAGGGATCCACGCACTTGTGACGGACACAGGCCCGATTCCTTGGGCAATCCGCATTCAAGACGCACTCTGGACGACAGCCGGTATAGGGATCTCCTTGGTATTCGGCCAAACACGAGCACTGACCATTCTGGCACAGGGCATTCGCTCCGCAGGGGGACGGGTTGCAGGGATCGTCGAGGGCAATGGGCTTGGCTAAGGATGGGGGAATATTACACTTGGTCTTGGACACATTCATACTTTCATGGCTCTTACGTGGCGGCTGTGGTTCAGGGTAGCAACTGGAGAAGGGATCACCCACATATCCCACTGGACAGAGACAACTGGGCACGTGATTGTGGACGCGGCAAAGTGCATTGTAGGCACAAGAGCCTGGACAGGGATCAACGCATCTTTGATTGATGCACGCCAGACTGGACAGGCACTCTGAGCTCTGGATGCACTCGGGTCGGCAATTGGGCGGCAGGCCAAAGTAGTTGGGCAAGCAGGAGCAGATGGCCTGGCCCTGGGACTCCCTGCACTGGGCATTGGCCCCACAGGGAGAGGGTTGGCAGGGATCGCGCACAATGTCGTACAGGATATGGGTGGGTGGAGCTAAGCAAAGGGAGGGCAAGGTAAGAAATGCATAGACTTTCCTCCTTACTAACTACTTACGAGGTATTGTGTAACAGCGGGTGAATGGATCGCCCGTGTAACCGGCTTGACAAGAACAGAGTGGAGCATGGTTCAGCACCTGGCAGTTGGCAAAAGTGCCACAGGCACCGGGGCAAGGATCAAGGCATTTGTGCCGGACACAGGCCTTGTCCAGGGCACACTCCGAGGAGACGGTACACTCGGGTCGACAACCCGGCGGAGTGCCCACATACTCCGGCAAGCAAGAGCAGGTGGCCACTTCATTTTGTTCGCGGCACTGAGAGTTCGGGCCGCAGGGAGAGGGTTGACAGGGATTCACATACTCCCGAACAGCTGTAAGAGAATTATAAAAGTCTAGAGAAGGATTTCGGGCAGAGCAGAGATTCTGCTTACGTTTGGCTTCAATGCTGCAATAGCGATACGGATCACCAACAAAGCCACTCAGGCAGTTGCAGGTGGGCAGGTGATTGCGCACAAAGCACTCGGCATTTTGGCCGCAGCTTCCGGGACATGGATCACGGCACTTCTGGTTCACGCACGCCAAATGAGAGGGGCAATCGGAGTCGAGCACACACTCGGGGCGACAGCCCTCGTAGGGATTGCCAAAGTACTCCGGCAGACACTGACACGATCCGACACCATTTTGCTGCCGACACTCGGCAAAGGAGCCGCATGGATTCGGGTTACACGGCTGCACCACTTCGACCGGATCCCTTTGAATGGGTGCACAGCGGACGAATGGATCACCACTGTAGCCCGGCTGGCAGTAGCACATGGCACTGTGACTGATGACCCGGCACACGGCATCGATGCCGCACAGACCCGGACACGGATCCTTGCAGCGGTTATTGACGCACACCTGAACCAGGCTGCACTCGGCATTGGAAACACACTCTGGTCGGCAATTGGGTGGTGTGCCAAAGAAGCCGGCCAGGCACGAGCAGGAGGGTGTGTCTCCCACTCGGCGACACTCACTGTTCGGTCCACACGGCGAGGGCTGGCAGGGATCTTGCGGCACAACATCCCGCTGGGATTCAACTAAAGGCAGGGAGGGGGCATGGATTATGATATTGTCTTCCCTGGCAATAAAAGGCTCTGTCAAACTTACTAATCCTATGACACTGGACGAAGGGATTGCCGGTATAGCCCGATCTGCAACTGCAGTACGGACTGTGGCTCACTGTACGGCACTCGGCATAGGCCCCACAGACTCCGGGACAGGGATCGACGCACTGCTGGTTCTGGCACGCCAAACTGGGGGCACAATCGTAGTTGGTGCTACACTCGGGTCGGCAAGAGGGCGGCACCCCAAAGTAGTTGGGCAAGCAGCTGCACACCGCCTGGCCATTCTGCTCACGGCACTCGGCATAGGAGCCACATGGCGAAGGACTACAGGGTTACGGTACACATCCACTGAGGAGCAGGACAAGGATAAACTGGGATTCTCTACACGCATTAAATGATTTGACCTACATTTGACTGGGGTACACTGCACAAAGGCATTGCCTGTCATGCGCTCGGGGCACCGGCACATGGCGATGTGGTTGACCACCTCACAGATGGCATTGTTGCCACAGGTTCCGGGACATGGGTCAGTGCACTTTTGCTGTATGCAGGCCAGATGCCGGGGACACTCTGAGCTAAGGACACACTCTGGCCTGCAGGACACATAGGGATCACCCTGATACTCGGCCAGGCACTTGCATTCTCCTTGGTTGAAGCAAACGGCATTGCTGCCGCAGGGGCTGGGATTGCAGGGATCGGGGGTCTCCTCACGGACTACTGGTGGGGCTGTATGGGAGGATTCTCTCTTAGTTGGGAAAAGTTGGGTTAGCTAGCGGGGCAAACTCTTACGTGGCGCCGGGTGACAGGCAAGGAAGGCGTCGCCCACATAGCCACGCAGGCATACGCAACTAGGAATGTGACTGATCACTCGGCACTCGGTCTGCTGACCACAGGCCCCGGGACAGGGATCACGGCAGCGTTCGCCGATACAAGCCAGGTGACTCGGACACTCAGCATTGAGGGTACACTCCGGTCGACAATGCGGCGGAGTGCCAAAGTAATTGGGCAAGCAGGAGCACACTGCTTGATCCTGCTGATTCCTGCATGAGGAATACAGCCCACAGGGCGAGGGAAGGCAGGGATCACGGTAGGGAGCAACGTCTCTCAAGGGCGGTGGCGGGGGAACTGGCAGCGGGTAAAGAGTTCGGTTTATATTTCAGTAAAAAACACACATCAAACTTCTCCTTACTTGATGGACGGGGCAGACAGCGTACGAATGGATCACCTGTCATGCCGGCGGGACACCTACAAATGGGACTATGGTTGCGCACATCGCATACCGCCTGCTGACCACATACACCGGGACAGGGATCAACGCACTTGTAGTTAATACACGCCCTGGTGGGGGCACAGTCGGAGCTCGAGGTACACTGAGGACGACAATTGGGTGGGGCTCCCTCGAACTCGGAACCGCAGGAGCAGACGGCCTGCTCGTTGATCTCGCGACACTGGGAGTTGGGGCCGCAGGGAGACGGCTGACAGGGGTTCACATACTCATGGACAATAGCTAGTTATGGTTAGGATACAATACTTGGGATTAGTAACTACGTCAACGATACCTACGACCAAGTTAGGTTCGACTACGGGAATAATTGGAACTCGCTTACGTTCTGGCGGCTGGCTGCAGTAGCGATAAGGGTCTCCTATATATCCAGCGAAGCAGTTGCACATGGGCGTGTGGTTTATCACATTGCATTCGGCATTCTGGCCGCAGCTTCCGGGGCAGGGATCTCGACACTTCTGCTGCTGACAGGCTCGGTTTGAGGGACAGTCCGAGTTCAAGACACACTCCGGTCGGCAGCCTTCGTAGGGATTTCCAAAGTAATCAGTCAAACACTGGCAGGAACCAGCTCCATTCCTCTGGATGCACTCGGCGTTGGCGCCACACGGCGAGGGATGGCACGGATTGATTATCTCCACGTCGGCCACTATGGGCTGGCATTGGGTGAAGGGATCCCCTGTGAGTCCAGCATCACAAATGCACATGGCTGTGTGGGAGACCACACGGCAAATGGCACTGACTCCGCACAATCCGGGGCAGGGATCGCGGCACTTTTGATTGATGCAGGCCAGGTTCGAAGGACACTCCGAATTGGTCACACACTCGGGCTTGCAGTAGGGCGGGGAGCCCACAAAGTCAGCCAAACACGAACAAGTGGCCGTCTCGCCGGCAGCGCGACATTCGGCGTTGGGTCCGCAAGGAGACGGACGACACGGATCCTGTGGCACTATATCCTGCTGTGGCGGTTCAATGATCTGCTGACAGCCCACGAAGGGATTGCCAGTGTAGCGGGGCAGACAGGTACAGAAGGGATTGTGATTGACCACGCTGCATTGAGCATTGCGACCACACGAGCCGGGACAAGGATCCACGCATTTCTGGTTAACGCACGCTAGTCGAGACAGACATTCCGCATTCGATGTGCACTCGGGACGACAGAGTGGCGGTGTTCCAAAGTATCCTGACACGCAGGAGCACACAGCCTGCTGGTTAACCTCGCGGCACTGAGAGTTTGGTCCACACGGAGAGGGTTGGCAGGGCTGGACAATGGCGGGTGCTGCAAGGAAGACATGGCGTTGGGACTCCAGAGAAGGGAGACAAGGGCCGGAAAAGGAATATTTACGTGGTATGGGTTGGCACTGAATAAATGCATTGCCTGCATAACCCTCGGGACAAGTGCACATGGGCACATGGTTGAGGACCGTGCAAATGGCATTGGGAGCACAGGTTCCAGGGCAAGGATCGAAGCACTTGTGACGCGAACAGGCCAGTTCCCGCGGGCAATCCAAGCTGGTGATGCACTCGGGCCGGCAGCCGCTGTAAGGGTCGCCATGGTACTCGGGAATGCAGGTGCAAACTCCGTTGTTGCACTGAGCATTCGGTCCGCAGGGTGAGGGATTGCAGGGGTCGTCAAGTTTAACGGCTAACAAGGGAAAGTTTTCAGTATTTCTCCACACACACACACACAAAGGGATTCGGGCGATGAGGCTTACGTGTTGGTGGAGGCGGTGGCACTGGTTGACACTGACTAAACGGATCACCAGAGTATCCTGCCGGACATGTGCAGCTGGGCGTGTGATTGATCACATTACAAATGGCGCCGTAGCCGCAGGAGCCGGGACAAGGATCTCTGCACTTCTCATTGATGCAAGCCTGGCTGCTGGGACACTCGGCATTAATGCGGCACTCGGGTCGGCAGTTGGGAGGTGCTCCTAAATAGCCAACCAGGCAGGAACAGGCGGGAGCATCACCCTGAGAACGGCACTGGGAGTAGGGTCCACAAGGAGACGGCACGCAAGGATCAACCGGGGTATTTTGCACTGGGACCACGGGTTCCGCTTTTGATACAAGACACGTGTTAGGAGAGGTTCCAACATGAGAAGAGTAGGTCACTTACGAGGCTTAGGGAAACAACGGAAGAAGGGATCGCCTGTATATCCGGCACGACACGAGCAAATGGGACTGTGGTTCACCACCCGGCAAATGGCGTGTTCCCCACAAGTGTTGGGACAAGGATCCACGCACTTTTGGCCCACACAAGCCTTGTCTATGGAACACTCCGAGGAGATCGTGCATTCGGGGCGGCAGGTGGGTGGAGCACCCACATATTCGGGCAGACACGAGCAAATAGCTTGCTCGTTGCTCTCACGGCACTGGGAATTGGGACCACATGGCGAAGGCTGACAGGGATTCACGTACTCCTTGATAGCTATAGAAATAGGGGACTCATTGGTTTCTGGATGGTGGAGTAAACTTTCATAATCAGTCTTACGTTGGCGTTCAGGGAGACACAAGCGATAGGGATCTCCGGAGTAGCCAATGATGCAGCTACAGCTGGGCACATGGTTGAGGACATTGCAGAGAGCATTCTGGCCGCAAGTACCCGGACATGGATCCTGGCACTTTTGATGTTGACACGCCCTGTTCGAAGGACAATCCGAATTGAGGACACACTCTGGGCGACAGCCTTCGTAGGGATTGCCAAAGTACTCGGGCAAGCACTGGCAGGAACCAGCATCCTGGCGAGAGGTGCATCGGGCATTGACTCCACAGGGACTTGGATTGCAGGGGTCCAATTGGTCAAGCTGTTGAATTCTCCTCTCGGTGCATATGGTGAATGGATCACCCTCCATGCCCTCGGGACACACGCAGCTTGGTGTATGCGATATCACGCGACATATAGCCGCCTGTCCACAGAGTCCTGGACAGGGATCGCGACACTTTTGCTGAATGCAAGCCTGGTTCGTGGGACACTCCGAGCTGGTAACACATTCTGGTCGGCAATTCGGCGGAGCTCCAATGTATTCCGGCAAACATGTACACGAGGGTAAGTCGTTCACTTCTCGGCATTGAGAATAAGGTCCACATGGTGAGGGCAGGCAGGTTTGCCTGGGCGGTGGTACTGGCGGCTCAATGATCGGCTGGCAGCTGACGAAAGGATTGCCCGTGAAGCGTTCCAGGCAGCGACAGAAGGGACTGTGGTTGGTCACATGGCACTGGGCATTGCGCCCACAGACGCCCGGACAGGGATCGCTGCACTTTTGGTTGAGACACGCCAGATTCAAGGGACACTCCGAGTTGGTGGTACATTCCGGACGGCAGAAAGGTGGGCTTCCGATGAAGGGTGAGATGCAGGTGCAGATGGCCTGCTGATTGGCAACACGACACTGAGAATTGGGGCCACAGGGCGAGGGTTGGCAGGGATTCTTTGGCACGTCGAGTTCTGTAAAGTTGGTGCATAGTATCTCAAGTGTAACCAAAGGGGAATGTTGTGAACATGTCTTACGTGGAACTGGACTACACTGGATGAAGGCATTGCCTTGCATCCGCTCTGGACAGCGGCAGTTGGGAATGTGATTAAGAACCTCGCATATGGCGTTACTGGCACAGATGCCGGGGCAGGGATCCACACACTTGTGACGCACACAGGCTCGACTGCGGTCACAGTCAGTGTGCAGAACACACTCCGGCCGGCAGCCCGTATACGGATCTCCGTGATACTCGGGCAGGCAAGAGCACACTCCGTTGTTGCACACTGCGTTGGAGCCACAGGGCGAGGGATTGCACGGATCCTCCGGGGGCAAGGGCTCTTGGACTGATTCAGGGAATGGTAAAGTTAGATTTTTGCTCTTCAATCTGCACTGAGAATAGATCTTACTTCGCTGCGGCGGCTCGGGATTGCAGACGCTAAATGGATCACCGATGTAACCCACCCAGCAACTGCAGATGGGCGTGTGGTTGACCACATTGCACTGCGTGTTCAGGCCACAGGAGCCGGGACACGGATCGCGACACTTCTGGTTTATGCAGGCCTGATGACTCGGACACTCGGCATTAATGGAACACTCTGGACGACAGTTGGGTGGAGTACCCAAGAACTGGGGCAAGCAAGAGCAAGACGGTGTGCCATGAATCTCGCGACACTGCGAGTTCGGTCCACAAGGCGAGGGAACACAAGGGTCAAGGGGTTCGCGTTCAACAAAGACTGGCGGAGGAGCTGAAATTGAGTTGCCTTGGTAACCATAATCTGTTTGACTGACTCTGCTGAGTTTCTTACGCGGCTGACGGTAACAGCGGGTGAAGGGATCTCCTGTGAAGCCACTGAGACAGGTACAAATTGGGTTGTGGTTGCGCACTCGGCACTCGGCCTGTTGGCCGCAGACATTTGGACAGGGATCGACGCACTTGCGGTTCACACAGGCCTTGTCGGCGGAGCACTCCGAGCTGCTAGTGCACTCCGGTCGACAGGCGGGTGGATTGCCGATGAACTCTGGCAGGCAGGAGCACACTCCTTGCTCGTTAACCTCCCGGCATTGGGAGTTGGGGCCACATGGCGACGGCTGGCAAGGATTTACATAGACGCGTTGAGCTACAAAAAAAAAAAAAAACAACTTCGATGGAGAGAAAATCTTTGGGGGCAAACGTCGGCATCCTTACGTGGTTCGTCGACTATAATGCGACACAGACTGTACGGATCGCCGGTGAAGCCTGGCAGACAATTACAGGTGGCCAAGTGATTCACCACCTGACACTCTGCACTCTGTCCGCATGTTCCGGGACAGGGATCCCTACACTTCTGGTTCGCACAGGCCAAATTCGAGGGGCAGTCAGAGTTCAGAACGCACTCGGGACGGCAGCCATCATAGGGGTTTCCGAAGTAGTCAGGCAGACACTGGCATGATCCGGCACCGCCACGCTCCTCGCACTTGGCATTGACGCCACAAGGACTGGGATTGCATGGCTGCAGAATCTCATTGGGGGCATCCCTCACGGGGCTGCACTGACTAAACGGATCTCCGGTGAAGCCACTGTCGCACAAGCACATGGCCGTGTGACTGAACACCCGACAATTGGCATTGGCACCGCACAGACCAGGGCAGGGATCGGCACATTTCTGATTGATGCACGCTCGGTTTGTGGGACACTCCGAGTTGGATATGCACTCGGGTCGGCAGTTGGGCGGGGCACCTATGAACTCGGCTAGGCAGGAGCAAGATGGTGAGTCTCCTGACACCCGACACTCGGAGTTGGGTCCACATGGTGAGGGCTGGCAGGGATTCTGTGGTCTCTCCTCGCGTTGTACTGCAAAAACTTCGGGCTTAGATACGGGAAGGGACGCAGTGAAAATCCAGGGTGACTTACTTATCGGCTGACAGCTAACGAAAGGATTTCCAGACATGCCAGCGGGGCAGCGGCAGAAGGGACTGTGATTAACCACGTTGCAGAGGGCATTGAAGCCACAAGTACCGGGACAGGGGTCACGGCACTTCATATTCTGGCAAGCCTGATCGGCTGGACAATCGGAATTGCTAACACACTCGGGGCGACATTGGGGCGGACTGCCCACATAGTCGGTCAAGCAGGAGCAGACCGCGGTCTGCTGCACCACACGGCACTGACTGTTCGGACCACACGGTGAGGGCTGGCAGGGATTCTGGATTTTAGCAGGAGCCACGGGGCGACACTCAAAGAATGCATTTCCGGCCATCTGCTCCGGACAGCGGCAGATGGGAATGTGATTGGGGACCTCGCACAAGGCATTCACGCCGCAGGTTCCAGGGCAAGGATCGATGCACTTGTTCCGCACGCAAGCCCTATCCCTAGGACAATCCGTGTTCAAGACGCACTCTGGACGACACGAGACATACGGGTCTCCCTGGTACTCCGGTATACAAGAGCATTGACCATTTCGACAGATAGCATTGGAGCCACAAGGTGAAGGATTACAGGGATCATCCGCAACGGGTGGCGTTGTGGCTGCAGTATGGGGTAAGAAGGGTAAATAATCGCAGAATTTCTCAAGTGACTCGGGACACCTACGTTCTGGAGGCTTGGGATTACAGTTGGTGAACGGATTGCCAATATAACCATCGATGCAGGCACACAGAGGCGTATGATTGATGACACTGCAGACAGCATTGAGACCGCAGGCACCTGGACAGGGATCACGACACTTTTGATTGATGCACGCCAGCTGACTGGGACATTCCGAGTTGATTGTACATTCGGGGCGACAGTTGGGAGCCTGGCCGATGAAGGTGGGCAAGCAGGAACAAGCGGGCACTCCATTGATGTTCCGGCACTCGGAATTGGGACCACAGGGCGTGGGCACACAGGGATCTCGCAGGGGCTCATCTTTGGTCTCAATAGGCGGCGCTATGATAAGGAATATTTTACAACTCTCATTTATCCCGGTGAAAGGAAATCTGAGCTTACGTGGAATGGTGAAGCAACGCGTAAAGGCATCGCCTGTGTAGCCGCTGAGGCAACTGCAAATGGGACTGTGATTGCGCACCCTACACACGGCATTGCTGCCACAAGTATTTGGGGTGCAAGGATCCACGCACTTCTGGTTAACGCACGCCTTATCCGCAGAGCACTCCGACGAGATGGTGCACTCGGGTCGGCAGGCAGGCGGTGTTCCCACAAACTGGGGCAGGCAGGAGCAAACCGCTTGCTCATTGGAGACGCGACACTGAGAATTGGGACCGCAGGGCGTGGGCCGGCAGGGATCGACGTATTCGTTTTGAGGGGCTACAGTACGAGAGGGACATGAGTATATGGACAGAGGGTTAATCCGGAGATTTCTTACGTTCCGGCTGACGACTGCATTGGCGGTATGGGTCACCCACATAACCAGCCAGGCAGTTGCATGTGGGTAGATGATTGACTACTTGACAGTTGGCATTGAGACCACAAGTTCCGGGACACGGATCCTGGCACCTCAACTGCTGGCAGGCCCTGTTCGACGGACAGTCCGAGTCAAGCATACACTCCGGGCGGCAGCCCTGATACGGATCTCCAGAGTATTCGGGAAGGCACTGGCAGGATCCAACGCCATTTCGATCACGGCATACGGCATTCGTTCCACACGGACTGGGGTTGCACGGGGTGCGGATTTCGATGTCTCGCACGATTTCCGGACTGCACTGCACGAAGGGATCTCCGGAGAAGCCCTGCAGGCAGATGCACTGCACCGCATGGCTGACCACACGGCATTCGGCATTGAGGCCACAGCGTTCTGGGCATGGATCCACGCACTTCTGGTTGACGCAAGCGAGCTGACTAGCACAATCCGAGCTGGTCACACACTCTGGCCGGCAATTGGGCGGACGTCCAATGTATGTTTCCAGACAGGAACATGCGGGGGCTTCTCCCACAGCTCGGCATTGGGAATATGGTCCGCAGGGAGACGGGCGACACGGATCAGTGGGAACAACATCGCGAATGGGCTCAACTGGGGAAAGGTAATTATCCCGTAAATAATGCACCATGGGAACTAAGTTGGAATTCTTACTCTGAGGCTGGCAACGAATGAAGGGATTGCCCGTGAACCGTTCAGGGCATGTGCAGAAGGGACTGTGACTGACCACGGCACAATTGGCACCCACTCCACAGGTTCCGGGGCATGGATCGCCACAACGTTGGTTCAGACAAGCCTGCCTGGGTGCACACTCAGCGTTCGAGGTACACTCCGGACGACAAGAGGGCGGAGCCCCAATGAAGCTGGGAAGGCACGAACAAACGGCCTGCTGATTAACCTCGCGGCACTGCGAGTTGGGACCACATGGTGAAGGACGGCAAGGATTGGTTACAACTGAAACTATTGGTGGGTTCGGATTGGGTTCGTTAGAGGGAATCTGAGGAAAGGAATATCTCAAAGACGTACTCTGCACGGGGGAGCAGCGGATAAAGGCACTGCCAGCAGTGCCATCGGGGCACCTGCACATCGGTATGTGGTTGATGACGTCGCAGATGGCATTCTCACCACAAGTGCCTGGACAGGGGTTCACACACTTGCTGCGCAGGCAGGCCTTGTCCCTGGCACAATCCGAATTCAAGACGCATTCCGGCCGACAGCCGGAATAGGGATCACCATGGAATTCGGCCAGACAAGTGCACACTCCACCGTTGCACTGGGCATTGGCACCACAAGGTGAAGGATTGCACGGATCCACATATTCGCCTATCAAGGGGTGAGTTACTTTGTTAGCACAGAAAACATTTCCCTGACATTCCTTAGCCTTACTTTGGATAGGTTCGGGAGGGGCTGGACGACAACTGCTAAACGGATCACCCGTAAATCCAGATGGACACACACAAATGGGCGTGTGATTAACCACATTACACTCGGCGGCATACCCACATGATCCTGGACAGGGATCGATACACTTTTCCCGTATACAAGCCAGATTGGAGGCACACTCGGCACTGATGGTGCACTCGGGTCTGCAGTTGGGCGGTGCACCCAGGAACTCGGGCAGGCAGGAACACGATGGCACACCCTGGACATTACGGCACTGACTGTTCAGGCCACATGGTGATGGCAGGCAAGGATCACGCTCAACACGTTCGATTATGGGAGGAGGTGCTAGGTTAGATATATTACTACTATTAGCATCACCATCTTCGATTTTAGGGGAAGACAAAGTCTTACGTGGTAGGGCATAGCAACGGGTAAAGGAGTCACCGGTGAAACCTTGACGACACTGACAGAGGGGGCTGTGATTGCGAACCCGGCACTCGGCATTGATGCCACATGTGCCGGGACAGGGATCCTGGCAACGTTGGCTGATGCAAGCCTTGTCGGTGGGACACTCGGTACTTAACACACACTCGGGTCGGCAGTTGGGAGGCAGGCCGATGTGGAGTTCCAGGCAGGAGCACACAGCCTGACCGTTGAGTTCGCGACACTGAGAGTTGGGACCGCACGGCGAGGGGCGACAGGGCTGAGTTGGTTCGGCCAAACGAATAGCTAGAAAAGGGTTGGGCTAATGGTCAAGACTGGTTACAGATGGGGTTTTCGTTTCTTACGTTGGGCCGGTTCCACATGGCAGTAGCTATACGGATTGCCCGTATATCCGATGCGGCACGTACAGGTGGGCAAGTGGTTCGTTACACTGCAGTCGGCGTTGGTGCCACAGGTGCCTGGACAGGGATCCCGGCACTTCTGCTGCTGACACGCCTTGTTGGAGGAACAGTCCGAGTTCCGAACACACTCCGGACGACACGACTGATACGGATCACCAAAGTGATCAGGCAGGCACTGGCAGGAACCAATGCCATTCCTCTCACGGCACACAGCATTCGAGCCGCAGGGATTGGGTTCGCAGGGAGTCACCTGCTCATTGACAATGCGTTCTAAAGGGCGGATGGGAGAAAGAGTTGGAGTCGGGTGTGGAGAGAGACAAAGGTGGACAGAGATTAGCATTATTAGCTCTCAATCGATCTGGGTTTTAGTACATTTGCAACACACCTGGCGTTGGCTTTTGCTTTCTGTTTAATCCGATTGCAGCTGTGGTATTATTGTAGCGGTATTAGAGTACGAATACGAGTTAAGGTGTTGGCATTAATCGATCCACTGAAGGATAATGCGGTTGAGGTGCAGCTAACGCTTCATTTAGTTTTGTTAAACGTTGTTGATTGTGTGCTGAATTAAGTGCTTTGGCAGTGTTTTATTTTATTTTAATTAATTTTTTATTGCATTTTGTTGTTTGTGGTAAGTGCATAAGTAAAACAAGTGTCTATTTGCGGGGTTATATCATTTGATTTATTGTTTGCTCGCTGTTAAACAACTTTTATACGCTACTAAGGTTATACATTTTAAATATTACTAATTAGGTTGCTTAAGCAGTACATACTGTACGTATCTTTGGCGATTTTCGAAGGCAAGAATTTTGGTCAAGGGTCAGGGTCAGTGTCAGGGTCAAAAACAACGCTGTACTCAATTCAGGGGTAGTTGGGTTAGAATCAATTTGGGGTAGTAAGCGGAGTGGAGAGACATGGGGCCAAATAACGAATTAGGTAAAAGCATTTCGCGTTGATTATCTCCCAAAATCAAATACAAATATATCCTTTTCGAGTCGAAAACAACAATATCATCAAGGGTTAGGAGGCAGAGATCAAAAGGCGGGTGTATTTCTTTGTGAGGCATTAAAGGTGGCATATAAGGAAGCAATAATAAAGGCGTGGCAAGTTTGCATATTGTAATAATCAGGCGTTAGGGGCAGTATAAAAGCAAATAGGTAAAAAATGACTAAAACTAATTATAATCTTTGACTATCCCACAATTCAGACACATCCAAGAGACACTAAACACTCTGACAACTCGTACAGAGTGCGTGCTGCTTGAATTTTGCATTTTGCTCAAGTGATTTGTGTAATTTTAGTAACTTTGTGTGTAAAAACTTGGAACTGGAAACACTATTCTTTGCAATGCATTGTGCCTGTGTGTGCGGTAACCATAGATCATAATGTAAAGTGTAAATATTGTGATATAAAAAGCTGCCTATGAGCGCATTAGAACAAGTCTCGCGAATGAAGTGAATTGATTCAAAAGTGCCAACAAATAGTGCTTATCAAAATGAAGTACTCACAATTACAACGATTGTAATTGCTATATTATGGATCAAATATTGATATCTCATTATAATGCGCTTCTAACGAAAGGGAAACTTTGCTTTCAAGGGGTATTTTAAGCAAGGGTTTGTTGGATTTAGTCTAAGGACATTTACAACACAACAATTTATATATGTAGCTGGATATATGGGCGTTACTCATTATATTGTTATATTGTCTTGGTAGTTTCAAAAGGCGGGCCAATAAGTGTATTATTAAGTCGCAATAGTTTCCACTTCTTTTTAAACTAAATTCCCAAGGCGTAAACTCATGATTTTGCAGTGCATCATTGTTCTTTGTAGTAAGCAGCCAGAACCCACAACATTATTGTTGTTTATAAGCTGGCTTACGCCTTGGCCTAACGTCTGAGTAAGTAAATGAATTCGTGGTCCTACCTTGCTCCTTTTGACAGCCGGTGAACGGATCTCCAGTATAGCCCACATCGCAGGTGCAGATGGGTTGATGATTGGCCACATTACAGCGGGCATTGAATCCACAGGCATTCACACACGGATCCGAGCATTTCTGGCGAATACAAGCCTTGGTCGGCGGACATTCCGGATTGATGGAGCACTCGGGTCGGCAGCTGGGTGGCGTTCCAATAAAGGTGGCTGCACACGAACAGGCTGCGTTTCCATTCAACACCTTGCACTCCGAATTGGGGCCACAAGGCGAGGGTTGGCACGGATTCTCTGGAGTCGTTGGTGTTGGTTTGCGTTCCTCCTGGTAGCATCGTGTAAACGGATCACCAGTGTAGCCCGAATTGCATGAGCATGATGGGTTGTGATTGATAACCTGGCAGCGGGCGAATTGCCCACATGCTCCGGGACAGGGATCCACGCACTTCCTGTTCACACAGGCCGTTTGTAGCGAGCACTCGGAGCTGACGATGCACTCGGGCTTGCAGGCCGGCGGTGACCCCAGCATGCCCGCTTGGCAGGCACACACGGGCGCTTGTCCAGATATTTGGCACACGCTGTTGGGTCCGCAAGGGTTGGGTTGACATGGATCCTTCGGGACAGGCGTCTCCTGGCGGCAGTGGACAAACGGATCACCGGTGTAACCCTGCAGGCAGCTGCAAATCGGGATGTGATTGGAGACGTCGCATTGCGAGTTCTGGCCACACACTCCGGGGCAAGGATCCACACACTTCTTGTTCAGGCAAGCCTTGGTGGGCGGACAATCCGTACTCAAGGTGCACTCGGGACGACAGCCGGTGTAGGGATCACCTCGGTACTCCGGCAGGCAGCTACAGATGCCATTCCTGCACTCGGCATTCGATCCGCATGGCTGCAAGTCGCAAGGGTCCTCGCTCTGAAGGGGAGGTGACGTCGGTATGATGACCTCGACGCACTGAACAAACGGATCGCCGGTGAAGCCTCCACGGCAGGTGCAGATAGCCAGGTGGTTCTGAATGCGGCACTCCGAGTTCACTCCGCAGGAGCCGTCGCAAGGATCTCGACACTTCTCGGCGATACAGGCTCGGTTCGAAGCACAGTCCGTGTTTACGATGCACTCGGGTCGGCAGTTGGGCGGCGCTCCAATATAGTTGGGCAGGCAGGAGCAGGAAGCCTGGTCATCGCGCACGCGGCACTCTGAGTACAGGCCACAAGGCGACGGCTGGCATGGCCTCACCGGCTCGTCCTTGGGTCCAGGCGGTGGCGGTGGTGGCGCCGGGTAGCAACGGGCGAATGGATCGCCCGTCATATCCAATGGACAACTACAGATCGGGTTGTGGTTGATCACCTCGCACTTGGCATTCAGGCCGCACGTCTTGGCGCAGGGATTGGCGCAGCGGAACTTGTGGCACGCCTTCGTCGAGGGACATTCGGCGTTAACCGTGCACTCTGGCTTGCAGTTCGGCGGAGCACCCACAAAGGTCTCCAGGCAGGAGCATACGGCCAATCCATTGGCTATGCGGCACTTACTGTTGGCTCCGCACGGCGAAGGAACGCAGGGATCGGCAACGGGTGGCGGAGGGCTGACCTCCACACGGCGACAGCTTGTAAACGGATCACCGGTGAATCCATCGTTGCAGACACAATTAGGTACATGGTTCACAGCGTAGCACTGGGCATTCAGTCCACAGATTCCGGGGCAAGGATCTTGACATTTGTTACGGATGCAGGCCTTGTCCGTGGGACAATCCGAGCTGAGAACGCACTCTGGGCGGCAGCCCTCGTAGGGATTGCCTTGGTATTCATCGATACACTTACAGGCAGCAGCTCCGTTTCGTTCAATACACTCGGCATTCGCTCCACACGGCGATGGCTGACAGGGCTTCACTGGCTCTTCCTGCTGCTGTACGCATTGGACAAAGGCATTTCCCGCAAAGCCTTGAGGACAGGAACAGGACACCGTGTGTCCGATAACGCGGCACTCGGCGTTGGTGCCACATGACTCAGGGCAGGGATTGCTGCATCTGTTGTTTATGCAGGCCTGCGTGGACAGGCAATCCGGATTGATGATGCACTCGGGCCGGCAGTTGGGTGGCGTGCCAAAGAACTCGGGCTGGCACTGGCAGACCGGTCCATTCCTATCCGGCTTGCAGATGGAGTTAGGTCCGCAGGGCGAGGGCGTGCAAGGATCAGTGGTATCGACATTCTTCACATCCGGTGGTATGACAATCTCCACGCACTGCTTGAACGGATCACCAGTTCGACCAGGTGGGCAGCCACAAATGGGACTATGATTGATGACCTCACAGCGGGCCTCGCGTCCGCAGGCCGCAGCGCAGGGATCTACGCACTTCTTGTTAACGCAAGCCTGCAGGGCGGAGCACTCGCTGGAAACTACGCACTCGGGCCGACACTGCGGCGGAGCACCGATGTAGCCCTCCAGGCACGAGCAAACCGCATGTCCGTTAATATCGCGGCACTGACTGTTGGAGCCACATGGAGACGGGTTGCAGGCCTCAATAATGGGATCTTCGACGACAGGCTTCACGCGACAGCTGGTGAACGGATCACCCTCGTAGCCCTGGAGGCATGAGCACACCGGAATGTGGTTCATGACCTCGCACAATGCATTGTTGCCGCAGACACCGGGGCAGGGATCCACGCAGCGGTTCCGGGTACAGGCCTTGTCTCTGGGACAATCCGCCGACAGAGTGCACTCTGGCCGGCAGCCTTCGTAGGGATTTCCTTGGTAATTATTCTGGCAGCGGCACTCTCCTGCAAAGCAGTCGGCATTCTGGCCACAAGGACTAGGATTGCACGGGTCATTCACGACGTCTGTGTGTCTGTCCTCTGGTGTCTTGGTGCAGCGCACGAAGGGATCACCCTCGTAGCCCTCGATACAGTTGCAGATGGCCAGGTGGTTAAGCACATGGCACTTGGCCTCGAATCCGCAGGAGCCCGAGCAGGGATCACCGCACTTCTGGTTGATACACGCCTCCGTGGGTCCGCATTCAGAGTTGAGAACGCATTCCGGTCGGCAGCGAGGTGGCGCTCCAATATAGTTGGGTAGGCAGGAGCAGGCCGGGCTGTTGCCCACAATCTGGCACTTGGCATTGGGTCCACAGGGCGAGGGTACACAGGATGCCGGTGGCGGTGATGGTGTTGTTCCAGGAGTAGTGATGGCCACCTTAGTGCACTGCACAAACGGATCTCCGGTCATGCCGCGCGGACAAGTGCAGATAGGACTGTGGTTTTTGGTGCTACAAATGGCACGAATGCCGCAGGTGTGCAGGCACGGATCCACGCATTGATTTCTCACACATGCTCTTTCCGGTGCGCACTCAGCACTGACCACACACTCTGGTCGGCAGTTGGGCGGCTGGTTCACAAATCCTGACTGGCAGGAGCACACCGCCTGGTTGTTCATGGCCCGGCAGTTGCTGTTGGGTCCGCAGGGCGAGGGATTGCATGGGTTCAGAGGCGGTCGGGGGGTAACTGGCACCGGCTTGCAGCTGAAGAACGGATCTCCTGTGTATCCCGGCGGGCAGTTGCATGTGGGCACATGCTTGTCCACGGTGCAAATGGCATAGTCTCCACAGATGTTGTCGCAGGGATCGACGCACTTGAAACGCACACAGGCTTGGGCCGGGGAGCATTCGTCGTTGGTCTCACATTCGCGTCGGCATCCACGCTGAGCATCGTAGGGATTGCCCTCGAATCCGTCGTGACAGTAGCAGGCGCCGGCTCCATTCCTCTCTCGGCACTCGGCATGCGGGCCGCAGGGTGATGGTTCGCATGGGGATTGCGGAGGCTCTGTGGGCAGCACAGCTGGGATGAGTTGGCAGCCAAAGAGGGGTTCGCCTTCATATCCATCGGCGCAGGTGCAGACGGCATTGTGCTGCACCACCTGGCAGATGGCGTTGTTGCCACAAGAACCGGGACAAGGATCGACGCAGCGTTCGTTCTGGCAGGACAGATGGTTCTGGCACTCATCGTTGTTTGTACACTCCGGCCGGCAGTTGGGCGGACGTCCGATGAAGCTGGTCTGGCAGGAGCAAGCTGCCTGGTTGCCAATCACACGGCAATTGGCGTTCGGTCCGCATGGTGATGGCACGCACGGGTTGTCCGAGGTCTTGCCAGCTTCGGTGGGCAGGCATCCCGAGATGGGATCTCCCGTCATGCCGGGCTGGCAGGTACATATGGGGTTGTGGTTCACCACCTGGCACTTGGCATTGTTGCCGCACGAGCCGCGGCACGGATCCTCGCACTTCTGGTTGATGCAAGCCCTGTTCTGTGGGCACTCCGAGCTGACTACACACTCCGGCTTGCAGCTGGGTGGGGCTCCGATGTAACCCTCCAGGCAGCTGCACACGGCATGGCTGTTGGTGTCTAGACACTGGCTGTATGGTCCGCAGGGCGATGGCTGGCATGGATTCTCTGGCCGGCGGGTGACCACCTCGATGAGTGAGCAAGCACGATGCGGATCTCCGGTATAGCCATCGAAACAGTTGCAATTGGGACCATGATTCAAGACCCGGCACTCGGCATTAATGCCACAGGCCCCGGGGCATGGATCCTGGCACTTGTTGTTGATGCAGGCTCGCGACCGATCACAGTCATCGTTCTGGACACATTCCGGCCGGCAGCCGCTGTACGGATCTCCAAAGTACTCTGGCAGGCAGGCGCAGGAGCCAGCTCCGTTGCGCTCCCGACAGATGGCATTGGCACCGCAGGGACTGGGATTGCAAGGATTTCTGGGCTCTTCCGAGGGCGTAACTAGAGGAGAAAAGGGCGGAAATCGAAGTCAAGGATTAGATGGGAACCAAAGAGAGTTATGAGCATGCATCAAATTATATATATTACTTTGCTGTACAATCGCACAGCCCGAGAAGGGATCTCCGGTGTAACCAGGCACACATTCGCATGTCGGCCGGTGCTTAATGACCGTGCAGACGGAGTTGAGGCCGCAGGCGCCGATGCATGGATTCGTGCAGCGCTGGTTAACACAGGCCAGATTCGCCGGGCAGTCGGCACTGCTGAGGCACTCGGGCCGGCAGTTGGGCGGACGGCCAAGGTAGTCGGGCAGACAGGAGCATGCAGGTGAACCGCGGACATCGATGCATTTCGAGTTGGGTCCGCACGGTGAGGGGATGCAGGGATTACCGGACTTTTCCGCGGGTGTGGGTTCCACTACAGCCGCACATACACATGCCAGATAGTTGGATAGTACACATAGCACACACAGATACACAACAATTTACATAGGTTCATAGGAGATAGTAGAGTTGGGATAGTGGTTTTACAGAGAGTGTACATAAAATAAAACATAAATAGAAAATGAAGAAATAAAACATTAAATAGTGTATATACATGCAGGAATTTGGGTAGAGGAGTGGGCAAGCTAAGTGGGGATAGGAAATCTAAAAACCAAGGGTTCTTTTGGTTCTTAAAAGGGAAATAGAATTCAAAAGTACTTCTAAATAAGTAACCTTTACTATGGAAAATCTATCCCATTTAGCTTTCACCCAGTCATCTCTCAAATCCAAAGAGGAGCTAATCATGCTTACACAATATCTTAGTGCATCGATTGAAGGGATCTCCGGTAAAACCTGGGGCACAGGAGCATGCAGGGTAGTGGTTAATGACCTGGCACCGGGCCTCGATGCCGCAAGTGCCCGGACACGGGTCCACGCACTTCTGATTCTGACAGTTGAGATCTTGGGCACAGTCCGAGCTAATGATGCACTCGGGCCGGCAGCTCGGTGCTGAACCAACAAAGCCTTGCAGGCAGGAGCACACGGCATGGCCATTGACCTCACGGCACTGACTGTATGGGCCGCAGGGCGAGGGTCTACAGGGATGCTCATCCCGTTCGGCTAAGGGGAGGTACGAGGAGTGATGGATCAGTTGGATGTTGTTGGATTTGGGGTTAGTGGTTGAGAAAACCTACGTGGCGGGGGTAACTGGGGTATTTCACGGCACGCACTCGACGGATTTCCAGTGTAGCCTGCCAGGCAAGAGCAGCTGGGCAGATGATTGGACACACGACACTCGGCGTTCAGGCCACAAACACCTGGACAGGGGTCCACGCATTTCTGGTTGACGCACGACTTGTCGCGCGAACAATCACTGTTCACCACGCACTCCGGACGACAGCCGCTGTACGGATCACCGAAATACTCCGGCAGGCACGTACAGGAGCCGGCACCGTTGCGTTCGCGGCACTCGGCATTGGGGCCACAGGGCGAAGGTTGGCAGGGCGTCAGGCGCTCCTCGGGCTCGGGCAAAACTGGCGGTGGTCATTAGGGTTAAGGGATTAGGACGTATTCCAAGATGAAATCAGACATGAGCTTACGTTGCGGATTGCAGCCAGCGAAGGGATCACCAGTGAAACCATTGTCGCAGGAGCAGACGGGTGAGTGATTCACCACACTGCAGTAGGCATTGAAGCCACACGATCCCGGACAGGGATCCTGACAGCGCTCGTTAATACAGGCCAAGGTGGCCGGGCACTCGGTATTAAGGGTGCACTCTGGGCGGCAGTTTGGCGCCCTGCCCACGAAATTCGGCAGGCAGGAGCACACACCCGTCTCGCCCACAACACGACACTGGGAATTTCGACCGCAGGGACTCGGAACACAGGGATTCTCATTCGACTTGGGATGCTCGGGCTCCTCCTGCCAGGGGGCACAGCGTACGAACGGATCGCCGCTGTATCCGGCGGGACACGAGCAGATGGGATTGTGGTTGGTCACCTTGCAGATGGCCTCGTTGCCACAGGTGCCGGGACATGGGTCCACACAGCGTTGATTCACACACGCTCTGTCCTGGGAGCACTCGGAGCTACCCGAGCACTCTGGCCGACAGGCGGGCGGAGTTCCAATATAATTGGTAACACAAGAGCAGACCGCATGACCGTTCACCTCACGGCACTGGCTATAGGGACCGCAGGGTGATGGACGACATGCTTCCACGGGTGGGGCCACTAAAAGTTATGATCATTCGTTATTGGATCTATCTTGCTAATGTTGATCTATACTGAAGAGTGGGTCAATTTTTATGGAATCCATCAAAAGTTGACCCACTCTGGGGAAAACTATATCCTACATTTTGGTAACTCCCTACAGTACTGCGAAGGATTGCCCGTGTATCCGGAGGGGCAACTGCAGCTGGGGGCATGGTTGATGACATGGCACTCGGCGGAGACGCCACAGACTCCTGGACAGGGATCGCGGCACTTGTTGTTCAGGCAAGCACGGTTCTTCGAGCAATCACTATTAAGCACGCACTCCGGGCGGCACTCGGTGTACGGGTCTCCATTATACTCCGGCAGACACAGGCAAGAGCCTACGCCATTGCGCTCCTTGCACACGGCATTGGCTCCGCAGGGACTTGGGTTGCAGGGCTGTGCCACCTCTGGCGGGACAATAACTGGGGGTGGGATATAGGGGGAAAGGACAATGGTTTAGTATCTGGCTGGAGCTCCAGACGTCATTCAGATCCCTTACTCTTCGGACTACACTCTGAGAATGGATCCCCGGCATAACCTTCGAGGCAGCGGCAAATGGGTCTATGATTATTTACAAGGCAGGTGGTTTGGATGCCGCAGGTACCGACACACGGATCCCGGCAGCGCAGATTTATGCAGGCCAAATTGCCCGGACACTCGGAGTCCGATGTGCACTCCGGCCGGCAGTTTGGCGCCCTACCCACATAATGTTGCAAGCATGAGCAGACCGCCTGCTCATTGGCCGCCGACACCCGACACTGAGAGTTCGGTCCACACGGCGTTGGAACGCACGGATCTTCGTGGACGATGGGTCGCTCTACATGCACCATAAACAACCATCACACGACACCACCAATGGATAAAACATCATGCACCAAAATAAGCCATACATTACAGAGTACATATAAAAGAGATAACAATAAGAGGTAAAGATATAATATAGAGAATGCGAGTGATGGTCAAGCATGGTATGAAATGATTTTCGGATGATGAAATGGATTTGATGAGAGGTTGCTTTTAAATACCCCTGCAGGAGCAAGCTGTTTCAATTGTACAGGAAAAAGAATACAGTTCTGGGTGTAAGAAATAAGGAGAAGAGGAGAAGAAGGTTCAAATAAACCTCCCCTTTAATAAGACATTCAGACAAACAAATTAGACAACATCTGGATAAAGAACATAATCCTTGCAGGGTAATTTAAATCTCCGACTGCTGGCCGAAGCTAAGCTTTCATTCGACACTCCCTGTCGATGCTTACTCTCTTGCGGGAAGCAGCGCACGAACGGATCACCGCTGTAGCCGGGACTGCAGGAGCAGATGGGGTTATGGTTGACCACACGGCAGAGGGCATTGTTGCCGCAGGTACCGGGACAGGGGTCCTTGCAGCGTTCGTTGACACACGACTTGTCCTGCGAGCACTCCGAGCTGCTCATGCACTCGGGCCGGCAGTTGGGCGGAGAGCCAATATAGTTGGGCACACAGGAGCAGACTGCGTGACCGTTGACCGGACGACAGTTGCTGTAGAGGCCACATGGCGAGGGTTGGCAAGGGTTTTCGGGCACTATGGGGTCGGGATCTACATAAAGTCAGCAATTAATAGAGTTCCTAACTACACGCCTAACTTGCAGTGATTTCTGCACTCCTAGGTAGGGTTTCAGGAGAGTTAATTGAGACAGTTGCAGACTATAAAATAAAGTCATTGATAAACCCGGAAGGGAAAATACCACTACCTAGGTAGCTTCCATTACTGCTAACCAGTTCTATCGAGTTCTTACAGCGTGGTGCCTCGGGCACCAGGTGGCAACCGACGATGGGATTACCCGTGTAACCCGGCAGACATTCGCAATTGGGCGCATGATTAAAGACCGCGCATTGAGCGCTGTGACCGCACATTCCTGGACACGGATCCACGCACTTCTGGTTGACGCATGCCCTCGACCGGGGACAGTCAGAGTTAATGACGCACTCGGGTCGGCACTCGACATACGGATCGCCAAAGTACTCGGGCACACACTTGCATGAGGCAGCTTGATTCCGCTCCTCGCACAAGGCGTTCAAACCGCAGGGACTGGGACGACAGGGTTGGATCACTTCGATCGGGGCTGTGGGGGGGAACGGGACAAACATGGGAATTGAGTATCTCGAACTAGAAGACATTTCCAACTAAAGAACCTACTCTCAATGATCTTGTAGCAACCGGAGAAGGGGTCACCAGAGTAGCCGGGCTCGCACATGCAAACCGGAGCATGAAGGCTGACATGGCAAAGGGCGTTGTTGCCACACGACCCAATGCATGGATCGGCGCAACGTGCATTCACACACGCCATCCTGGCCGGACACTCGGAATTGATGCTGCACTCTGGCCGGCAGCTAGGCGGGCGTCCTATGTAATTGGCCACGCAGGAGCAGACCGCTCCGCTGCTGGAAACTTGACACTGCGAGTTCGGACCGCAAGGCGATGGCACACAGGGATTCGGCGGTACAATAGGATCGGGTATGGGCGTTGGTTCTACAAGAGTATCATACTTTAAGTTCGAAACTGTCCATTTGGAGGGAGACTACCTAAGTGAAACCTACTTCTTTCGGGCACGCACTGATGGAACGGATCTCCTGTATACCCATCGTAGCAGCTACAGATGGGCGAGTGGTTGGTGCATCGACAGCGGGCATTGTAGCCACATGTACCGGGACACGGATCTTTACAGCGTTGATTGATACAGGCCCTATCCGAGGGGCACTCGGCACTGGTCATGCACTCGGGCTTGCAGTTGGGCGGAGCCCCCATATAGTCTGGTAAGCAGGCGCACACTGGTCGGTCCCCAGCCACATGGCAAGTACTAAACAGGCCACAAGGCGAGGGTCTACATGGGTCAGGGGGCAGGGGCAGATACATGTCTAGGAGGGGGAAAGGGAAGCCATTAGATGGTAACTCCATGGGAAGAGGAGGATTGATTTGTGAGGAAGAACTTTCTGAGAAACTTTAGGGAATGAAAACAACATTTTTGATATATCAGACTGCCTACAAATCAATCCCTCCCTTGGACTAAGAGTCATACTTGAGGGTCTCTCGACACAGGCGCGCAGAGGGTTGCCAGTGAAGCCTGGCTCGCAACTGCATACGGCCTGATGATGGGCCACCCGACAGATTGCATTGAATCCGCAGGCATTGGCGCAGGGATCTCGGCACTTCATATTTATACAAGCCCGATTGCCGGGACAGTCGCTATTCTGAACACACTCCGGTCGGCAGTTGATGTACGGATCACCGAAATAGTTTTGGATGCAGCTGCAGGAGCCGGCTCCATTACGGACGCGACAAATGGCATTAGCACCACATGGCGATGGATAGCATGGGTCGGAGGGTGGATCTGGTACCACGACTATCGTATGGTCATGAAAATAGCAAGCAGGATGCAGGCAAAGAATACAGAACAATGTACAGACATAGTAAACTTAAAGCTACATTATAAATATATGATACGTAGATAGATAAAGGTATATATATATATAGATGAGAGGCTACAAAAATATGTACACAATACGAGGAACATGCATAGGATGTATATACCATAAGCCCAGTACTTCCAGAAACACCACTGAAAGGAACATTTAACATTAAGGGCACGCCTCGAGCACACATCATCCGTGCTCCTGGAAAGGATAGCAAATAATCGAAAGGGAGGTACTCACTCTCTCGCATTCGGCAGGCAGTGTACGGATCACCCTCAAAACTTTCGATGCAACTACACGTTGGCTGATGGTTCTGCGTCGAGCACTGAGCATTAAAGCCACAGATGCCGATGCAAGGATCCTCGCAACGCTGTCGGATGCAAGCCCGGTTCGATGGGCAATCCTGGTTAATCACACACTCCGGTCGACAGTTGGGCGGAGCTCCAAACATTCCAGCGGCACAAGAGCACTCGGCTCGGTTGTTTATATTGCGACAGTTGGCATTTGGTCCGCATGGACTGGGCAGGCAGGGATCCACGTTACGTGGCGGTTCTGATGCTGTTTGAAAATAAATTGATGAGAACATAAGCTCTTAAACGACAGATTAAGGAGATACTTACGTTTAGGAACACATTGTTCGAACGGATCGCCCTCATAGTTGGCGGGACAGGAGCAGATCGGGTTGTGGTTGTTCACCTGACACTTGGCATTGAAGCCGCAGGTTCCGGCACAAGGATCCGTGCACTTCTGGTTGATGCAGGCAAGGTTCTGGGCACACTCCGAACTGACCACGCACTCGGGTCGGCACTGAGGTGGAGCTCCGAAATAGCCAACCTGGCAACTGCACGTAGGATGTCCCTCCACCGTGCGACAGATGCTGTTGGGTCCGCAGGGATTCGGTTCGCAGACGCTGACGGGACCCACAATCGGCACTCGCTTGCAACCCTCGAAGGGATCACCCTCAAAGCCACGGGAACAGCTGCAACTTGGGAGGTGGTTTACCACCGCACACTCAGCATTTGCACCGCAAGCCGACGTGCAGGGATTTCGACAATGTTGCTTGATGCAGGCTAGCGACGAGGGACACTCCGAGTTGTAGATACACTCCGGACGACAGCCGGTACTGTACGGATCACCAAAGTAGGGCTCGATGCAGGTACAACGAGCGGCATTATTGTGAGGCGTACACACAGCGTTTTCAGCACAAGGATTCGGGTAGCAGGGATCGAAGTCATCTCCTGGTTTCTCCACACTGGTCTTCGAGCAACTGATGAAGGCATCGCCCTCGTATCCCTGATCGCAACTACAGTGGGCTGAGTGAGCAATGACCGTGCAGCGGGCATTGTGTCCACAGACATTGGCGCACGGGTTCTGGCACTTCTCCTGGATGCAAGCCTTGTCTGCGGGACACTCACTGCTCAGCGTGCACTCCGGTCGGCAATATGGCGGGCTGCCGATGTAATTGGCCACACAGGAGCAAACGGGACGGTTCTGTTTGATCTGGCAAATGGAATTTGGTCCGCAAGGGGATGGCACGCAGGGATTCTTTGGCACGTCGACTTCACGTCCTGGGTCCTGGATGGGTGAGCACGCCACGAATGGATCACCCTCGAAGTTCGGCTCGCACGAGCAGATCGGATTGTGGTTGAGCACTTCGCAACGGGCTCCACCGCCGCAAATGCCGGGGCAGGGATCAGCGCATCTCTGATTCAGACAGGCCTGGTTCGGAGCACACTCCGAACTCACCACGCACTCTGGCTGGCAGACGGGCGGAGCACCCTTGAAGTTTGGCAGGCAGGAACAGGCAGCATAACCATCAGGAGTGGCCAGACAACGCGAGTTGGGTCCACAAGGTGAAGGTTCACAGGGCAGAGGCCTAACTGGAGGCGTCACAGGGGGCAAGTAGTAAGGATTGCATGCAATTGAGGCATCTCCACTGTATCCCTCCGGACAGATGCACACCGGTGCATGGTTGACCACACGGCAAACAGCATTGATACCACAAACACCGGAACAGGCCTCCACGCATTTGGAATTCAGACAGGCTTTCTCCGCCGGACAGTCGCTGTTGAGGACACATTCCGGACGGCATCCAATGTGCGGATCTCCAAAGTATCCCTTACGGCATACGCAGGCCAGTCCGCTCTGTTGGCGCTTGCACTCCGCGTTGGCACCGCAATGCAGCTTCGCACAGCTGGGCTGTGGTGTTGGCACAATTACGGACTGCGTGGTGCACTGTTCGTAGGGGTTTCCAAAGAGCCCCGTGGGACACGCACAAACCGGGTTGTGCTCGTATACAGTGCAGATGGCGTTGCGTCCACACGTTCCCAGGCAGGGATCCAAGCAGCGCTGCCTCAAGCAGGCGCGGTCAAAGGGACAATCCGAATTTGTTACGCACTCGGGTCGGCAGCGCGGGTTCTGCTGAGCGTTGGGTCCGAAGCAGGGATCACAGAGTGCCACACCATCACCATAAATCGAGCAAGCATCATGGGGTCCACACGGCGATGAGGCACATGGATCACGCGATACGTTTTTAAGGACTCCAATGGGCACACACTGCAAGAAGGCATCGCCAGCAAAACCGTCTAAGCAGAGGCAGACTGGCGTGTGCTGGCGCACATTGCAGATGGCATTAATGCCACAGATGGCTCCGGCGCAAGGATCCACGCACTTATGATTAATGCACGACAAGGCCTCACCGCAATCCGAGTTGATGTCGCACTCAGGCTGACATCCGGACTGAGGATCTCCCAAATATCCAGGTAGGCAGGAGCAAACAGCGCGGTTATTAAGAAGCTTGCACTCACTATTCCTTCCGCACGGACTGGGCACACAGGGATTCGTCTTGGGATGGTCCAGGGCATAGCATCGCACTCCCGGGTTTCCAGTTAATCCAGAATTGCATGAACAAACAGGGTGATGTTCCTCCACACGGCAGTTAGCTCCCTGGCCACAAGTTCCCGGACACGGATCGTAGCAGCGGAAGCCCATGCAAGCCTTGCTATTTGGACAATCTGCGTCGACCTGGCACTCATAGCCGTGGCAGCCAATCAAAGACGTTGGGTCACCGGATAGGCCGTCGGGACACACACATGCAGTCTGTCCATCGCCGGCCACCACACAGTTGGCATTAGGTCCACAGGGATTGGGATCGCACACGGTGCGACTGGGTTCACGGCAGCCCTGATAGGCATCGCCCACATATCCGGAGCGGCAGTAGCATTCCTCACGATTTCCGGCCACATAGCAGTCAGCATTTCGGCCACAAGGCCCTGGCTGGCACAATTCAATCGTAACGGCCGGCTTGTCGCACAGCCTGAACGGATTTCCGATCTTGTTGTCCGGACAGTAGCATACGGGCTGGCGAGACGAGTCACAGATGGCACCAGTTCCACAAGGGTTGGGGTCGCATGGGTTAATCGGTTCCACACAGCCACGAATTGTGTTGGGACTCTCAACATATCCCGGCAGGCAAGTGCACTTGGAGAATCCATTGCTGAGTACCGAGCACTGAGTGTTGGGACCGCAAGGTGATGGGTCGCAGGGATTCGAGGGTAGCTGACAGGGAATCACAGGAGGTTGCCCGTCGTATTCCGGCAGGCAGAAGCATATGGGCTTGCCCTCCACACGACGACAACCCGAATTGGGGCCACAGGGGTTCGGGGTGCATTCGTCTCCTTCCGGAACTAGATTAAGGTATTTGAATTAGAATAAAAGTAAAAGTTATAGATTCTAGTTAATACTCACTGCAATTTTTGAAAGGATTTCCAGTGAGACCCTTGGGGCAGTAGCAAATGGGATTTCCGTTGTCCAGCTCGCACAAGGCATTCAAGCCACACGGATTGGGCTCGCACGGGTTCTGGGGCGGTCTGCAGCCCACTTGGGGATTGCCACTGTAGCCCGGCGGGCACTTGCACACTCCACGATGATTGATCACATCGCAGAGAGCCGATGCTCCGCACTGGCAGGGCGAGGAGCACTTGCCATTGATGCAGGCCTGACTCGAGTCACACTCGGAATCGGAACGGCAACCCTGACTGGGCAGACACTGAACGTAGGCATTGCCCAGGAAACCAGGCAGGCAACGGCAATCTGTGCCGTGATTCACTGGTATACACTCGGCATTCTCGCCGCACGAGTCCTCTTGGCAGGGATTGATGCAGCGACGGTTGAGGCGGTCGCACAGCTTCGTCGGCGGACAGTCCTCGTTGTATTGGCAGACATGGGAGCGTGCTGTGGTTTTTTTTGGTTAGGGTTACGGTGCGATTCGATTGGATCGGTGTGGTGTATTTATAGATTGTTGGATTTGATTTTAGAGTTGGTAGGACGGTACAAGTTTTATACATGTGTTGTTTGCGTGGTGTACGGGAATTTGTACAGTGTATGAAAGAGAAATTTGTGAGACATTAGCAAAGGATTTTTAGACAACAGAGGTGCCATTGCATTGACTTTGAGAATATACTAACCTGGCTGGCAGCCCACAAGTCCATTGCCCTGAAAACCATCCGCACAGCTGCATTCGGCGGCGTGATTGGTGTTGATGCAAATCGCGTTCGTGGCGCAAGGATCATGAACATCGCAAGGATGCTGGCAGCGCTGATTGATGCAGGCCTCGGTGACGCCACAGTCGGAATTATCAGTGCATTCGACTGGAAAATTGTTTAGATTTTAAATTTTAGTTACAGCTTATGAGAGAGTTTCGTAAAGATTTCGTAGTTGAGAAGCCCATGCATAAAATGAAGTTGTTGATTAATCGATTAGTTCCTTACTTGAGGTTTGAGTGGGCACACATTTGACCATCGGATTGCCCTCATGGCCCTGCGGGCAGGTGCAAATCGGACGATGACTCTTGGCCGAACACTTGGCACTCGCGGCACAGATCTTGGCAAATTCGCACGGATCCTGGCACAAGCCCATGTAACAGGCCTCGCTCTCAATGCAGTCGTTGTTAGATTGACAGGGTTCAGGTGTTTTCGGTGAACCCGGCGGTTCTACTTGTTAGAAAGGATTTTAGTGAGTTAAGAAGAGTTAATTCGTTGTTGATGTGATTTTAAATCAAATTAAATGATAATAATATGTACAGGGGCTATGCTAATTATGTACAATTTGTTTTTATATAACAAAAATTAGTTGGTAAATGCCAGAAAACATAATGCCCTATACATAAGAAATTATGTACAAATTGAACAATATTAGTGCCACTTTGGGATAAATGTTTTAAAGCAAAGTTTATCCCAAAGTGGCGTGCATTTCACATATAATTGCAGTTGTTATACCTTTCTTACGGCAATTTCCCAGTTTACAGTGCTCGTTGGGAGCACAGTTAGTATCTACTGTACATGGGTTAATTAATGAGATTTCAGTTGTTGTATTGCCCAGTGGAGCAATCATGGTGTCGTACACCTCAGTGGTGGTGCCCTCCGTGGTGGGCAGCTCGAGGGGCCTGCCCGTTGTGTAATCCTCATTGGATGTATCCAGACGCGTGGTCTTTTTGGGCTGCGATGTGGTTCGACCCTGATTACCACTACTTGTATCTTCGCCACGCAACGTGGTTGTTGGAATCGTGGGTCTCGGCGTTGGAGTATCGGTAATATTGTTCTCCCCATCGCGGTACCGCCTTGTGGCATCGGTATGGGAGGTGGTGCTTTCTGTGTCTGGTTTCTTACTGTGGTTCCTACTGGTCTGGTTAGTAGCGCTTGTGATTGTGCTCGATTCAGTGCTAGTGGAAGAAGTGGTAGTAGTGGTGGTGGTTGTGGTTGTTGTGGTGGTGTTGGCCCTTGCAGTAGTAGGGGTCTTTTTGACGCCCGTGTTTGGGTTAGCTGTTGTTCTTGGTTTCGTTGGTATCTTGGTAGATGTGGAGTTCTTGGTAGTAATAGTTGTTATTGTTACATTAGCTAAGGAGAGAGATGTATTTACACGGGGGTAACGGGAGGTTAATTTATATATTAGAATATGTACACATTGTATTTACACCTATTATTATTAGGTTTTGAGTTTTGGTTACAAATAAAAAAGGCTCTCGTGGAACTTACCCTTGATACAAGCACCAGTAGTGGGATCGCAATTAACCCCTGGTGGACAGTGTTCACAGCCAGGAGTTCGACCAGTTCCCGAGCACGAGGGCTGATGGTCCAGGACACGGCAATCCTCATTGCGGCCGCAGGGATTGTCGTAGGTGCAGGGATCCACGCAGAGTGCATTAATGCACGCCTGCTGTGAGGGGCACTCATGGCTCGAAGCGCAACCAATTTCTGTTTGTAAGCAATATTCATGCATTAGTGGGGGTATTTTAAGGAGTTTCATCATAACGCAAGGATGCGCAAATATTACGTCGTTATAATTAAAGTCATTCCTTTTAGGTCAAGAATCCTGTTCGGTAGGTAGTTTTCTCTTTCATTAAGTTTTCAATGCAGTTAGTAGAGCTTTTCCTTTTAATATTGCATCCTTATGCTAACTTTTCAACTACGTTCAAGCATATTATAAACTATGTAGCAGTCTTTAGCGTTAGTTAACTATATATAGTTTAGTTCTTAGCAGTTGCTTAGTAAACAACATATACACATGCAAAAGCGATAAGTGAGTTAGTGCATATAAGGTTCTGATAATAATAATATATGTTTTAATTAGTAATCCAAATACCAAATACATGCACAATTTTCCTTAACTACTGACTACAGGCTAATACACTTACGGTAAATGATAAGGTTTAACGACAACGAAATCTAGATACTATATACAACAAAATCAACACAGATTAGAACACAATCGAAGGGTGTCGCGCCAAGGTATCATGCGAGTTGGGGGACTTTCCAAAACATAACAAAGAACGAGTAACGAGAAACATTCAGAATGGTGAAGACAATGACAAGGGATTTGATGATGTTTGCAGCAGGCATTCTCAGGCAGACAAAAAGCAGGCAACTAACATGAACAACGAGCAACATTGCAACACAGATCGACATGCAGAGAATTGCGCTAGAGAGTGAATTTCCAAGAATCGGCATTCGATCAAAAGCTTCCTTGTGGACACACAGAGTTCAAACTATTCCGGGTGCTGCTCGTGGTAAGAGATCGGTAGGTGGAGGTGCAAGGAGTTGAACAAAACAGAACTGAAGAAGCAGTATTTAGAGACAGGGCAGAGGCAAATGTATTTTGAAAAGTACACCACAAAGAAGACACGGATCTTTGCGAGGAATAAAAACGAATGGATGCATGCATGGTGTCCATACGGTTCGGATGCCTGTTCCGTCACATATATGCCACAAAAGAAAAGGATAATGGCTGAAAATCCGAAGGGAGGAGAAGGAGAAATGACATCCAACTGAAGTAGACTACTACGATTTGCCAGTTATGTGATTGGCGTTGAGAGTAGTCGACGATGCCATGATGCCAAGAGTTTACCGCAACCCTGTGGTTCCTTGCAATTCATTCAATATGATTCGATAAAAACTTACACATATTTACACAACTTTAGTTACCTGCTTTCATAGAACAATCGGGGCTATTTACATCATCGGTGGTGCCACAGAAGCACATTGTGGTGTGGTTCAATGTTCGACAAATAGTAAGATTGCTCACAGTGCAGAGATTCTTGAAATATACACAAGGCGCTAAGCACAGCCCCCCTATACAGGTCTCATCGTCAAGACAGTCCTGTTCCGTCGTACAAGTCATTGTTCGCTCAGTCATATCTGTTACAGATAAGTCTGTAACATTTGGACTTCCATCCGAAACTGAACTCAAAGCCGGCATAGGAGTAGACGCTACAATTAGCGGAATAGTTTCCATATCCTGCGTAATATATTCTGTCGTTTGCTGAGAAGTACCCCTCGATATATATACAGGTATTTCGGTAGTTAGAGTAGACCTACTGTCTTCACTTGGAGGATCTGTCTGTTTTTTATTCATTCGTCCGGACGTAGTTCCCATCGGTATATGGGTGGTGCCCATCATAGTCATCTGTGTAAATGATTCTGTTACTTCGTCAGATCTTCCTAAAGATGTATCCCTAGGAACAAATGTAACAGGAGCTCCAGTTGTCTTTTCGTAAAGATAATTAGTTGTAGTAGTTGAGTGAATATCTGCAGGTCCACCAGTAGTCATTTCTCTGGGATTCATTGTGGTTTCTTTAGTCCCTTGACCCATGGTCGTTTTACCCGGAGAATAAGTGGTCGCATCAGTAGCATTTGCTTGAACTGTGCTCTCAGATCGACTTGTTGTTCCTTCTGTGGTGAATGCTACCGTCTGATCTGTAATTGCTCCCGGTGCAGTACCCATAGAGTAAGTTGTGTCTGTAGAGTCAGAAGGCATAGTTTGCCGGCCAACAGGTCCTGCAGTCGTGTCTTCAGTCACTGGTCCCCTGGTCGTGTCAATCGGAATATAGGTGGTAGCAGGAGGAGTTATTGACGGAACTGTGCCCTCAGATCTACTTGTTGTTCCTTCTGTGGTGAATGCTACCGTCTGATCTGTAATTGCTCCTGGTGTAGTACCCATAGAGTAAGTTGTGTCTCTAGAGTCAGAAGGCAGAGTTTGCTTAACAATAGGTCCTGCAGTCGTTTCTTCAGTCACTGGTCCCCTGGTCGTGTCAATCGGAATATGAGTGGTAGCAGGAGGAGTAATTGACGGAACTGTGCCCTCAGATCTACTTGTTGTTCCTTCTGTGGTGAAAGCTACCGTCTGATCTGTAATTGCTCCCGGTGTAGTACCCATAGAGTAAGTTGTGTCTCTAGAGTCAGAAGGCAGAGTTTGCTTAACAATAGGCCCTGCAGTCGTTTCTTCAGTCACTGGTCCCCTGGTCGTGTCAATCGGCATATAGGTGGTAGCAGGACGAGTTATTGACGGAACTGTGCCCTCAGATCTACTTGTTGTTCCTTCTGTGGAGAATGATACCGTCTGATCTGTAATTGCTCCCGGTGTAGTACCCATAGAGTAAGTTGTGTCTCTAGAGTCAGAAGGCAGAGTTTGCTTAACAATAGGCCCTGCAGTCGTTTCTTCAGTCACTGGTCCCCTGGTCGTGTCAATCAGAATATAGGTGGTAGCAGGACGAGTTATTGACGGAACAGTGCCCTCAGATCTACTTGTTGTTCCTTCTGTGGTGAATGCTACCGTCTGATCTGTAATTGCTCCCGGTGTAGTACCCATAGAGTAAGTTGTGTCTGTAGAGTCAGAAGGCATAGTTTCCCGGCCAACAGGTCCTGCAGTCGTTTCATCAGTCACTGGTCCCCTGGTCGTGTCAATCGGAATATGAGTGGTAGCAGGAGGAGTTATTGACGGAACTGTGCCCTCAGATCGACTAGTTGTTCCTTCTGTGGTGAATGCTACCGTCTGATCTGTAATTGCTCCCGGTGTTGTACCCATAGAGTAAGTTGTGCCTGTAGAGTCAGAAGGCAGAGTTTGCTTAACAATAGGTCCTGCAGTCGTGTCTTCAGTCACTGGTACCCTGGTAGTGTCAATCGGAATATAGGTGGTAGCAGGAGGACTTATTGACGGAACTGTGCCCTCAGATCGACTAGTTGTTACTTCTGTGGTGAATGCTACCGTCTGATCTGTAATTGCTCCCGGTGTTGTACCCATAGAGTAAGTTGTGTCTTTAGATTCAGAAGGCAGAGTTTGCTTAACAATAGGTCCTGCAGACGTTTCTGCAGTCACTGGTCCCCTGGTCGTGTCAATCAGAATATAGGTGGTAGCAGGAGGACTTATTGACGGAACAGTGCCCTCAGATCGACTAGTTGTTCCTTCTGTGGTAAATGCTACCGTCTGATCTGTAATTGCTCCCGGTGTGGTACCCATAGAGAAAGTTGTGCCTGTAGAGTCAGAAGGCAGAGTTTGCTTAACAATAGGCCCTGCAGTCGTTTCATCAGTCACTGGTCCCCTGGTCGTGTCAATCGGAATATGAGTGGTAGCAGGAGGAGTTATTGACGGAACTGTGCCCTCAGATCGACTAGTTGTTCCTTCTGTGGTGAATGCTACCGTCTGATCTGTAATTGCTCCCGGTGTTGTACCCATAGAGTAAGTTGTGCCTGTAGAGTCAGAAGGCAGAGTTTGCTTAACAATAGGTCCTGCAGTCGTGTCTTCAGTCACTGGTACCCTGGTAGTGTCAATCGGAATATAGGTGGTAGCAGGAGGACTTATTGACGGAACTGTGCCCTCAGATCGACTAGTTGTTACTTCTGTGGTGAATGCTACCGTCTGATCTGTAATTGCTCCCGGTGTTGTACCCATAGAGTAAGTTGTGTCTTTAGATTCAGAAGGCAGAGTTTGCTTAACAATAGGTCCTGCAGACGTTTCTGCAGTCACTGGTCCCCTGGTCGTGTCAATCAGAATATAGGTGGTAGCAGGAGGACTTATTGACGGAACAGTGCCCTCAGATCGACTAGTTGTTCCTTCTGTGGTGAATGCTACCGTCTGATCTGTAATTGCTCCCGGTGTTGTACCCATAGAGTAAGTTGTGCCTGTAGAGTCAGAAGGCAGAGTTTGCTTAACAATAGGCCCTGCAGTCGTTTCTTCAGTCACTGGTCCCCTGGTCGTGTCAATCAGAATATAGGTGGTGGCAGGACGAGTTATTGACGGAACAGTGCCCTCAGATCTACTTGTTGTTCCTTCTGTGGTGAATGCTACCGTCTGATCTGTAATTGCTCCCGGTGTAGTACCCATAGAGTAAGTTGTGTCTGTAGAGTCAGAAGGCATAGTTTGCCGGCCAACAGGTCCTGCAGTCGTTTCTTTAGGCAATGGTCCCCTGGTCGTGTCAATCGGAATATGAGTGGTAGCAGGAGGAGTTATTGACGGAACAGTGCCCTCAGATCTACTTGTTGTTCCTTCTGTGGTGAATGCTACCGTCTGATCTGTAATTGCTCCCGGTGTAGTACCCATAGAGTAAGTTGTGTCTGTAGAGTCAGAAGGCATAGTTTCCCGGCCAACAGGTCCTGCAGTCGTTTCATCAGTCACTGGTCCCCTGGTCGTGTCAATCGGAATATGAGTGGTAGCAGGAGGAGTTATTGACGGAACTGTGCCCTCAGATCGACTAGTTGTTCCTTCTGTGGTGAATGCTATCGTCTGATCTGTAATTGCTCCCGGTGTTGTACCCATAGAGTAAGTTGTGCCTGTAGAGTCAGAAGGCAGAGTTTGCTTAACAATAGGTCCTGCAGTCGTGTCTTCAGTCACTGGTACCCTGGTAGTGTCAATCGGAATATAGGTGGTAGCAGGAGGACTTATTGACGGAACAGTGCCCTCAGATCGACTAGTTGTTACTTCT